ATATATATACTTACATAAATATATACTTATATATATAAATATATATATTTATATATATAAATCTATATATAAATATATAAATATAAATAAAATAAATATATAATATAAATATATATAAAGCCACCGTCTATTTATTTATATATATAAGTATATATATAATTTATATATATAAATATATATATACTTATATATAAATATATATACTTATATAAATAAGTATATATATATATATATATATATATTTATATATATAAATAAGTAGAAGGGTAGCTCAGTTGGTTAATGTTGCCTTTAGTTCAGGTCACGATCTCAGGGTCCTGGGATTGAGCCCCACGGGATCCCTTCCCCACCTTCCTCACTTGTGCTTTCTCTCTCTCTCTCTAATTAATAAACAAAATCTTTTTTAAAAAAAGACTTAACTTCTCTCATAATTAAAGCATTAATAGTGAAATAATAAAAAGTACCATTTCCCCCTCATGAGAATAGCAACAAAAAATTTGATAATGCATGACACTGGCAACGGTACATGGAAGATCTCTTGCATGCTGCTGGTGGGAATATAAATTGGCACAACTTCACTGGAGAGCAAATTAAGATGTACTTTGATTTAGCAATTCCACTTCTAGGAATGTTTCCTACACGTGTATTTGTTCATGTGAGCCAAGAAACACACAAACACTAAGATGTTCGAGGCAGTAGTATTTATAACAGCAAAGACTGGAAGCACCCAAATGTCTGCTGCTCAGAAATGGTTAATGAACTATGGAACACAGGTTTAAACATGAAAACAGCGTGTGATGCATCTCCAGGTGCTCTCACACGGAACATTACCCAAGATACACTGAAGTCAGAACAGAGTCTGATTTAGAGCATAGGATCTGGAGTCAGACTGCTCAAGTTAAAATTCTGGCTCAATCAACTTGATCTAAAAATGGGTAATAGGGGTGCCTGGGTGGCTCAGTCGTTAGGCGTCTGCCTTCAGCTCAGGTCATGATCTCTGGGGTCCCGGGATCCAGCCCCACATGGGGCTCTCTGCTTGGCGAGGAGCCTGCATCTCCTTCTCCCTCTCCCACTCCCCATGTTTGTGCTCCCTCTCTCACTAGGTCTCTCTCATCAAATAAAATCTTAAAAAAAAAAAGGCAATAGATTGGAATAAACATTTCTCCAAGGAAGATATACAACTGCCAATAAACACATGAAAAGATGATCAGTATCACTCACTAGCCAGTAGGGAAGTGGAAGTCAAACCACAGTGAAATACATCTTGATGCCAACTGGGATAATGGTCATGAAAGAATGGAAAAGAAGTATTGGCAAGGGTATGGAGAAAACAAACCCCTCACACGTTGATGGTGAGAGTGTAAAATAATGCATTTGCTGGGGTGCCTGGGTGGGTTAAGCCACTGCCTTTGGCTCAGGTCATGATCTCAGGGTCCTGGGATTGAGCCCCGCATCAGGCTCTCTGCTCAGCGGGGAGCCTGCTTCCCCCTCTCCCTCTCTGCTCTGCCTCTCTGCCTGCTTGTAATCTCTGTCAAATAAATAAATAAAATCTTTTTTAAAAAATGGTGCATTTGCTGTGTGAACAAGCTTGGCATTTCCTCCAAAAGTGAGACACACAGTTACCCCGTGGCCCAACGACGCGACTGCCGGCTATGTACCCAAGAGAACAGAAAACCTACGTGCACCCACAAACTTGTACGTGAATGTTCACTAAGATCCAAAAGATAGAAAAGACCCCAATGTCCATCAACTGGTGAGTGGATAAACAACATGTGGAGGCGCCTTGGTGGCTCAGTCATTAAGCATCTGCCTTCAGCTCAGATCATGATCCCTGGGTCGTGGGATGGAGCCCCACATAGGGCTCCCTGCTCAGCGGGAGGCCTGCTTCTATCTCTCTCTCTCCCTCTCCTTCTGTTCCCTCTCTCACTGTCTCTTTCTGTAACAATAAATAAATAAATAAAATATTTTTTAAAAATGTGGATTATTCATATATGGAATGTTATTAAGTAAAAAAAAAGAAATGAAGTATGGATAGATGCCATTAATGGACAAACCTTGAAAACATAATGCTGAGTGAAAGAAATCTGTCACAGAGGACCACATATTGTATGATTCCACTTATATGACATGTCCAGAGTAGGCAGATCTCTACAGATAGAAAAGTAGATTGGTGGTTGCAGAAGCTTGGAGGAGAGTTGACTAGGAAATGACTGCTAATGAGTATACAGTTTCTTTTGGGGGGGGGCAATAAAAATGTTCTAGAATTAGATAGTGGTGATGATTGTACAACCTTGTGAAGAAATTAAAAAGCCACTAAATTGTACATTAAAATGAAATTTTTCATAGGGTTATGGGAGGATTAAATGAGTTAATATATATGATGGGTTTAGAATAATGTTTGGTATACACTACGCACTCAGTAAGCATTAGCTATAATGTGTTAGGTTGAAAAACGAAAGTGCAAAATCATGTATATTCTATTACAGTTTGTGTATTTAAAAAAGTGTTTATATCCCTTGACATCCGTCAGCCATTTCTACAAGGATATATGGAAAAATAACCTTTGCCTCTGTGTAGGAGGCATAGGGTCTGGCATGGAAGAGCAGGGGGGAGGGGCGGAGGGAGAAGCAGACTCGCAGAGGAGCTGGGAGCCTGATGTGCGGCTCAGTCCCAGGACCCTGAGATCCTGAGCCAAAGACAAATGCTTCACTGACTGAGCCACCCATGTGTCCCTATTTCCCCCATTTTACAGAATAAGGTCAGAAAAGTTAAACAACCTGCTTAAGTAACACAGTTGATGAGATGCAGCACTGGGATTTGAAACCATGACTGTCTTTCCCAGCATGTCCTGCTACTTCTCAAAATTTCACTCCTAAATGCTGAGGGGAAAGAGGCAGAGGTAAACTATGGAGAAATGAAGAAAGTTCAAGAACTCAGAAGGTGCCATTGATGTAAACTACCGTCCGCAGAGGTTTTTGGGGAATTAGGGGTGGGGAGGAGAAGAGGAGAGAACACATATTAACCCAGGACCTTTCAAGTTCTGGGGACTTTGCTAGTGGCAAAGCTCAGAGATGAAAACCTCAAGCTCAGAGTCAGACAGGTTTGCCTGCAAGTCTTGGCTTTATCACTTATTTGCTTTGCGAATTTGGATAATACTCTGAGCATCACTTCCCTCACTAATAAGCTAAAGAAGAGCAGGACTAATTATCCCAGAGAACTGAGACAGGAAAATAAAATATACTGCACATATAGGTTTAGTTTAATATCTGATATATAGTAAATGATCATTACTTATTAATTATCATTACTACCTTAGGTAAACCTCATAAGAACACCAGGACCTAGGAATTATCGTCCCCATTTTCTCGAGTAGGAAACTGAGGCTCAGTGCTCTCTTTTCATTACACCAAGGCTCCTGAATTCCAAGCGGGTAACTTAAATCCCTGGAGAAATCCAGATGAAATGCTCACTCAACTAACTAGTACCTACCTCCCCGAGGAATCACCCTTAGGAGATTTCTTGACTGTATCACCTTAGTCTATAATCAGAAACCCCAGTTCTCGGGGCATCTGGGTGGCTCAGTTGGTTGGGTGACTGCCTTCGACTCGGGTCATGATCCTGGAGTCCTGGTACTGAGTCCCGCATCAGGCTCCCTGCTTGGCAGGGAGTCTGCTTCTCCTGCTGACCTCTCTCCTCTCATGCTCTCTCTCTCACTCTCAAATAAATAAATAAAATCTTGAAAAAAAAAAACTAAAAAAAAATACCCCAGTTCTTACCCTGACATCTTCACAGAGCCGGCTTTTCTCACCAGATCTCCCAGCCCCTCTTAAATCATCTCCACTATTAAATTTCCAATCATGTGCTCACCTGCTTGGGAAGCATGTTCTCACATTCTCTTGCTTCTGATATCCTCTTGACTAGTTTTGCAGCTTTCCTCAAGACCAGAGTCTGACCAGGATGCTCTGTCAATACAATGTTAACAGGAAAGGGCTCATTGGAGCTTTTCAGCAATAATGGGAAAGCACGTATCACAGATCTCAGCTTCCGATTAGTGTGAAAATGCCTGCGTGTATTCAGATCATTGGGAGGTGCTAGAAGAAGTAGCTCAGGTAAATTCATGCAATTTCACTTGCATTTTAGCCAGATATACACCTGTGGTCACACATTTGTCCTTCTACTTATCTGTCCCTCCATCTATCCATCCATCCAGTAAACATCCACTGAACATCTACTATGTGTTAGACCTGTGCTCGGTGCTGGAAGTAGACTATCTTCAAGGAACTCACAGTTGAGTGAGGGAAAAAAAAGCATGCAATAATAAGGGTAAGACCAACTCAAGGCTGTGCATAGAATTCTCTACAAGTGGCCACAGAATAAGGAAGGAGAGGTTTGATGGCCTCAAAAGTGCTATGCAGAGGTACACCTAGCTGGCTTAGTAAGAAGACCATGCGACTCTTGATCTCAGGGCCATGAATTCAAGCCCCATGTTGCGTGAAGAATGTACTCAAAACAAACAAACAAACAAACAAATAAATAAATGCTAAGCAGGATCATGAAGAGTGTTGAGGATAAAAGATCCAACTCTTGCACAAAATTATGACTTTTCAGTGGAAAAGGGTGAATAAACTATCTCAAAGATGGGCCGAGAGAAACAACAGATCATCTAATAAAGGGATAACAATCAGAATGACTGCAGAGTTCTCAATAGTAACAAGAGAAGGCAGAACACAATAGAATGAAATCATCAAAGCATGGAGGTAGACTTCTGTACCCAGCAAACTATCTTCAAAAACAAAGGTGAAGGGGCACTGTTGAAACCATCAGATGAAGACTGTAAATCATTCATTATAACAATGTTGTAAGAAGTAAGGGTGAACACTTTGAAACAAATTAAAAAAAAATAGTAAGTCTCAGTAGGGAAAAAGAAGCTATGACAGGGAACCGAATAGAAATTTTACAACTGAAAAATAAAACAATTGAAAAAAAAAATCCACTGGGTGGGATCAATAGCAGAACTGAGGTGACAGAGGAAAGAGACAATGAACTTGAAGACAGACCAACAGAAATCCAATTTGTCTTCAACACAGCAGGAAAGAATACCCAATGGAAAAAAAGTTTCCAACACATGGTGTTGGGAAAATTGGACAGCCACATGCAGAAGAATGAAAGTGGGCCATTTCCTTACAGCATGCACAAAAATAGACTCAAATGGATGAAAGACCTAAATGTGAGAGAGCAAATCCATCAAAGTCCTAGAAGAGAACACAGGCAGCAACCTCTGTGACTTTGCCCATAGCAACTTCTTGCTAGACACATTTCCAAAGGCAAGGGAAACAAAGGCAAAAATGAACCAGTGGGACTTCATCAAGATCAAAATCTTTGGCACAGCAAAAGAAATAGCAGACAAAACCAAAAGACAACTGACAGAATGGGAGAATATAATTGCAAATGTCCTATTAGATGAAGGGCTAGTATCCAATATATATAAAGAACTTATCAAACTCAACACCCAAAGAGCAAGTAATCCAATCAAGAAATGGGCGGAAGACATGAACTGACATTTCTCCAAAGACAACATCCAAGTGGCCAAGAGACACATGAAAAAATGCTCCACATCACTCGGCATCAGGGAAATACAAAACAAAGCCACATTGAAATATCATCTCACACCAGTCAGAATGGCTAAAATTAACAAGTCAGGAAACAACAGATGTTGGAGAGGATGCAGAGAAAGGAGAACCCTCTCACACTGTTGATGGGAATGCAGGCTGGTGCAGCCACTCTGGAAAACAGTACGGAGGTTCCTCAGAAAGTTGAAAATAGAGCTACACTATGACCCAGCAATTGCACTACTGAGTATTTACCCCAAAGATACAAAAGGGGTACCTGCACCCCAATGTTTATAGCAGCAGTGTCCATAATAGCCAAACTATGTAAAGAGCCCAGATGTCCATCAACAGATGAATGGATAAAGAAGGTGTGGTGTGTGTATACACACACACACACACACACACACACACACACACACTATGAAATACTACTCAGCCATCAAAAAAAATGAAATCTTGCCATTTGCAACAATGTGGATGGAACTAGAAGGTATTGTGCTAAGGGAAATAAGTCTATCAGAGAAAAACAATTATCATGTGATTTCACTCATATGTGGAATTGAAGAAACAAAACAGGATCATAGGGGAAGAGAGGAAAAAATAAAACAAGAAGTCATCAGGGAAGGAGACAAACCATAAGAGACTCTTAATATAGGAAACAAACTGAGCGTTGCTGGAGGGAAGAGGGGTGGGGGGATGTGGTAACTTGGTGATGGACATGAAGGAGGGCACATGATATAAGGAGTACAGGGTATTATATAAGACTGATGGATCACTGACCTCTACCTCTGAAACTAATAATATATTGTATGTTAATTAATTGAATTTTAACTTACAAATTTTTTAAAAAGATAAATTACTAATTTGTGTGCTTTTCTGATACCACATGTGTGGTTCTACACCAGTTCTCCAATTCTCTGATATAAATTGGGTCTCCGTTCAGTTTAGTTCCAAATCTACCAAATCTGAGTTAGCCTCAGATCATACAAGTTAAAAAACTCGATCTGACAAAACCGTCTCCACTTTTGGCACCAGTCTCAAATGGGATGCCCAGTAACCCATAGTTCTATCCAGTCTATTACAAATTTGGGGGTTCCTATGGCCCACTCTCAAGTTTGATAATTCACTATGACTCACAGAATCAGGAAAGTGCTGTATTTACTATCACTGATTTATTATAAAAAATGAAGCTCAGAGGGGTGCCTGGGTGGTGGCTCAGTCGGTTAAACACCTGCCTTTGGCTCAGGTCATGATCCTGGGGTCCTGGGATCAAGCCCCATGTCCAGCTCCCTGCCCCACGGGGAGTCTGCTTCTCCCTCGCCCTCTGCCACTCCCCGTTTGTGTTCGCTCACTCACTCTCTCTCTCAAATAATAAAATCTTTTAGAAAATGGGCAGCTCAGAAAGATAGAAGAGATACATAGGGCAAGGTATGGAAGTGGAAGGTCCACGCCGTCCTCAGAGTGTAACCACATTCCCAGCCTGCTGATGTGCCCAGCAACCTGGAAGTTCACCAAACCACACTGATGAAGAGGGTTGTTGTTTTTTTTTTTTTAAGATTTTATTTATTTATTTGACAGAGAGAGAGATCACAAGTAGGCAGAGAGTCAGAGAGAGTGTGAGCAGAGAGCCCAATGCAGGACTTGATCCCAGGACCCTGAGACTGTTGGGTCCCCAATATTGGGTCCCCCAATAATGGGTCCATGGTCAAAGGAGCGAGACTGATAGAAAGCGAAGGTCAAGCAAAGCTTTATTTCGCACCAAGCATCAAGAATCAAACCGACCGTCAAACAGACCGGTCGGGACCACCCCTTACAGAGAGGGTGACCCTGCCCTGCCTCACAGACTAACTTTTATAGAGCAAAGGCCATGTGGTTGGGCCTGGCCACACACAGGTGGCCAATGAGATTGTAACACACAGAGAAAGCTGCACAGTCATGCTAGGTCACATACAGGTGGCCAATTGAACTACAATTCACCTCATAGTAGCTATTTGAACTAGCCTATCACCTTGGTCAGAATTGGGGCCCAAAAGGTGGGGCCCACACTCCTTGGTAGCTAAGGAGACAGTAGGCATACTCCACTGATTGGATGTCTCCACCTGACCTGACTCATCCCTGCGTCCCTGCATTTGGGCTGTTATCTCCACCTGACCTGACCCGCCCTTATATTTGGGCTTTGTTACCTGGGACTGGTTTCCTGGACTTGCTTTTAAGTAAGTTCCCTGAGAGGGGACAGGGTCAGTTTAAGTTTTACTGCATAAACAACAAAATCACTGTTTAACTGGATGGAATTACTCTGGCTAAATGGGCCCTTACATCTTCCTCTTTGACTCATGGGTCTTCATGAACTGAATATATAATTGGCCTTTGTTTTTGTTTTTAAGTAGATGCCACATTCAGCATGGAGCCAGACATGGGGCTTGAACTCATGACCCTGAGATTAAGACCTGAGCTGAGATTGAGAGTCGAATGCTTAACTGACTGAGCCACCCAGGCGCCATCCTTATGATTTCCTTAATAGCATTTTCTTTCTGCTAGCTTACATTATGGTAAGAACACAGTCTATCCTACATATAACATACAAAATATGTGTTTACCAACTGTTTATGGGGTTGGTGAGGCTTCTAGTTAACACTAAGCTATTAGCAGTTAAGGTTTTGCTGGGGGGAGTCAAAAGTTATACATGAATTTTTGGCTGAGTGGTGGGATCAGAATCCCTAACCCCTGTGTTGTTCAAGAGTCAATGCATGTTTATGTTTTGGAAAGTCTCCTACAAATATTTACCTCTGTTTGAAATCTGGCTATATCTCTCAAGGGTAGTTCCCCAGTTGTAGCTGTTGTTGGGGTTTTTTTTGTTTGTTTGTTTTGTTTGTTTGTTTGTTTGTTTTTAAATGTTTTATGTATTTATTTATTTGACAGACACAGATCACAAGTAGGCAGAGAGGCAGGCAGAGAGAGAGAGAGAGATTGAGGGGAAGCAGGCTCCCTGCTGAGCAGAGAGCCCCATGTGGGGCTCAATCCCAAAACCCTGGGATTATGACTTGAGCTGAAGGCAGAGGCTCAACTCACTGAGCCACCCAGGCGCCCCTGTTGTTGTTGTTTTAATAACAGCTTGATTGAAATATAATTCACATACTCTGAGCCTTCATTTCTCCATCAAGAAAAAGGATTGTTTAATTTTTTTGGAATAATGATGACATGTACGTAATTGTCTAGAATGATTATTTAGGAGTTCCTGTTCTTTGTTCCCTCAGGTTCTGTATTTGTCTACCTGGCATCCTGTAGTTACAGGGCAAAACTCATGGCCAAAGTTGTTCATGTCTCCCCTGTGTCTGGGCCACCTACTTCTCTAACTCTCACATAAAACAGCAGGTTTTTTCCCCCATGCCCTAATTCACCCAGACACCAGGTGCCAGATAACTAGGGACGGCCCCTATGCCCCAAAGCCCCACAGAAACACTCCAGCTAGCTAACCCTAACCTGTTGCCCTTACATGCCTTATCTTTTGTAAAGAAATTCTGGTAAAGGCCATGGCCTATGCCTTCCCCTTGCTCCATTCTGCCTCCTGATGGACCCAGGTGTTTCCCCCATGGCCCTGTGTGGTGCACCAGGCCTGTTTCTAGCAGAACCGTGAGTTGCGAACTTTTATTTCAAAGGCATCGGCCTCTGTGTAGTCACTCAGTCTCCTTCATAAATTAACACCTGGACACAAATCAGTTCCTACCTCAATAACTGCTGGTTTCTGAAGGCACCGTGGAGGGCAGAAGGGGTGGGGGGTGGAGGGGGCAGTAATCATGTCTTAGGTTTTCTTCTTCCATTGCTAACAACCTCTCTTCCCACAGATATTAGCACTGTGCTAAACTCATCATCAAAGTGGAACTTAATCTGTGCTTGTTGAACTGAAAAATAATTTTTTTAAGAGCTTATTAATTTACCTATTCATGAGAGACAGAGAGAGAGGGAGGCAGAGGCAGAGGGAGAGGTAGGCTCCCCGCAGAGCAGGGAGCCCGACAGGGGTCTCGATCCCAGGGCTCTGGGATCATGACCTGAGCTGAAGGCAGATGCTCAACAGACTGAGCCACCCAGGCGCCCCCTGAAAAATAATTGTCCTCTCCTCAGATACTACTTGGTGCCGAGGCCCCAGGCTAGAACTACAGGTGTAAACTAGGGTGGTAAACTATGTTTGAACAAACCCAAGCACCTAGGTCTTGGGAGATCATAACTATGTCAAACACCTACATTTCCTTTTTAGGTAGTTAATGTACCTTTTGTGGCATTCTGGGTTTGGGGTGTATCTGCTGAATTCTTCTTGGCCGAAGAGTCTTTCTCAGTGGTTGAACTTAGACCAGGAGACTCCAGGGGAGGGGGGGGGAGAAAAAATTTCATAAAACTGGTTCTGAGAGGAATACAGAGCATATGAAATTTCCTAGACACATCTCATTGTTCTCAGAGACAGAACACGTGGAGGGAGACCAGTACTCAGCCCTCCAACCTGGGAGCATGGCTAAGAGGTGGCTGATGTGGAAAACGCACGTCCTGGGGATGGAGCAGGCCGGGGCGCCCATCCCAGCCCCTGTCCCTCAAAGTAGCTGCTAATCTTGGACAAGTCCCTGAACCTCTTGGTGGTCTTGGTTTCCCCCTGGGTCCCTAGGAGGATGAAGTCAGCACGTGCGTGCAAAGCTCACGGGAAGTGTTGTGTGAGCACTGCTGCCAATGCTTACACACTCCCACACCCCACCTCCCTCAGGAGACATTTCACTGAGCAGCTACCGCTGGGTCTGCCACTGGGCGCACCCTGGAACCTGGGCTCTGCCCAGAGGAGCTCCCCGTTGAGCCACAGGAGAGAGCAGGAAATAAGACAGTTACGCTGATGGGTGGGAAGTCTCACCTATTTCTTAGAGAGGTGATGTAAGTTTGGGTTGGGTGAGTGACAGACTCAAAATGACACTGGTTCAAACTAGGTAGAAATTTCCCTCCCACAGAACATTCTGAAGGTAGGCACTGCGGGGCTAATACGGTATTTCGGCGGTGACAAATCCTTAGGGACTCTGATTTCTCCCAGCTCGTGGTTACCACATTCCTAAGACAGGAGCCTTGTTCTTAGGGTCCAAGATGGCAGCCAGCACTCTCCAATATTGGGGGACAACAAACAGTCTGCCACAGCCGTACGAGCAGAGTATCATCGGAAGCCAGGGTGGGGGAACGCTCAGGATTCTGTCTTGGGGGGAGCTGGAGGGCTTCCAAGGAGAGAAGACACTTCTTTTCTGTCTTTGAGGAGGAGGAAGCATTGGGCGATGTTGAACAGATGGCCCACCACGTGGCAGACAAGCAGTCCACCAGCCGCAACAGCCACTTCGCTTTTATAGAAACACGGTATTTGAATGGGAGGCATGCTGCAAGGACTTCCCGTATCCATGCAGCCAGCTCTCCAACGGCTACTGATTTTTTAGAGAGTAGAAATGGGTCCTGGGATGTGCGAGAGAGAAAATGCTCCCAGCTCGAGGAAGCATCGCAGCTCCCTGCTAACAGCCTTCAGAGATCTGTAGTCCAGCAGAGAATAAATGCACTTCAACAGACTCTAATCCTAGGTGTAAGTCTGTTGGAGAGGCAGTGGGGCGGTCCCCACGTTGGTAGAGGTCAGGTGCGTGGTCTGGGCTAAGTCGTTCACCTCTTGAGTCTACAGCTTCCTTTTTCAAATAAAGATAATAATTACCTGCCTGCAAGGGTGTTGGAAGGCCTAGAGTGGACACTTCCCCATTTAGTCTCTTGGGTTGTGACCAATGACCAGGTCCGAGCTGTGAGGCAAGGCGACTATTGTGTGGGTGGGGGGTAAGCTGAGACCACTCTGGGATCCCCTCCCCACCACGGCCCAGAGGAGAGGGAACCCTTCTGCCCCACGTGCTCACCCTGCTATTCAGATCCTCTGTGCCGAGGGCTCAGCTGTGATGGAACAGGGTGGCCAGGGAGCCGGGTTTTGAGCCAATGTGGGATTCAATCTGGGGCTGCCCAGAAGTATATGGGAGGGCAGTGGGCTTTGCAGATCTGGTATTAGCAGGTATGGGCATGAGCTGGAGAAATTGGGGTCATTCCAATTAATGACCGTTACTGTACCCATGCCCTGTAACTCGGGAAAACCGGTTACAGTGAGCAGACATTCCGATAGGACCCGACTGAAAAATCCTGGGCATTTCCTGTCGTTGGACACAATCTGCAAGAATGAGTATCAGTCGTGATGTTCATTTTTTAAGAACAGAGAGGCTCGGTTTTGCTGAAAGCTGTACAACTGAGAGGTAGCATCACCTGGAGGGAAATTTAGATCTTCCAGAACCAAGTGGTCTGTTTTCCTGTCTTCACCTACGGCTCCATGGGGGTCTTTCACTCCTAGCTCCCATATTTTGTCACTGATATAGACGACTTCAGTAGGACCTGTCCGTTCTTTAATCCAGACCTCCCCTCCAAAGCCTAGTCTTATAGACTTAACTACCTAGGTGATATCTGCGTCCATACTTCTCACATGTATGTTAAAGGTAAGTTCAAAGCTGAACTCTTGGTAACCTTCCCTAATCTCCCCTCTTCTCTGAGTAAAAGGGCACCATTCAGATGCCTAAGCAACACCCCAGGGAATCCTCCTTGGCTCCTTCCTTTCCTTCCCTGCCCCTCCTCCCCATTCCCAGAACCAATGGGTTTGCACCTGTTGAAAGATCTGGCTCCAAAACACACTTCAAGTCTTCACTCTTACCACCTGCTGTCACTTTCTCTTCCTGAGACAACCACAAAAGCCTAACTGGTTGTCTGTCCCCTTCTGTTACATTCTCCATATTCAGAAGACAAGTGTGATCTTGTAAAAATATAAATCGGAGGGTGTCATCTCCCTGTTTTAATGGATTCCTGTAGCGCTAAAATTATATCCATATTCCTTACTATGACCCTCCCAGCTGTACAGGACCTGGTCCCTGCTACTTCCCCAGCCTCAACTCCTGCCCCTTTCCTACAAGGGCTAGTGACAGTATTGTTGGCCTTCTCTCTGTTCCTTGAATATCTCAAGTTTTTTTCTTTTGTTTGTTTTTATTTCTCACCTCAGGGCCTTTGCACATCTGTTCCCTTTTTTCTGGAAGGTTCTTCCATTCATTCTTTTAATGGCTGACTCCTCATCTTTGGTTCTTAGCTCAAAGTGCTCTTTCTGGTGATGTTACCTGTCACATGTGTGCCCTTCCTTCTCCATATACACAAGATCCAGGCCCCGAGGTGAAAGACTTACTCTGCTCCCCTAGCTGCTTCTGTGGCTGGGATGCAGACATTTCACCTACAGTCTACCCTTCAGATGCACCACACCTGCCTGACCCTTTGAGGTATAAATGAGCAAAGGGATGAGACAGCGCCATGCAGACTCCAGTTCTGGGATGACTGCTGACAGGAAAGCAGAGTGGAGCTTGGAGCTCCCACTCCCCAGGAACACTGGTCGGGGCCCAGCAGCGTCCCTTGGCAGAGATGGGACGGCTTGGGCATCGTTCTCCATGGCATGGCCTCTGAAACTAACGAGCTGGCCCTCCCTGGGGAGCAGTGCGCCACCATTTTCCTTGAATACGTTTCTTCCTGGAGGTGATCCCATTGATTGCAGGTAAGAAATCTGACAATGACTGTTCCTTCTAAAGACTGTCTTTGCCGATCTTCTCTAATATTTGTTAAATGAATGACCCCGCCTCTAAAAGGCAGAAGCTCATATTTATAGCCGAGCCTCGTAACAGAAGCCCGATATACCATTAGAAGCTTTGTCATTCCCACTCGGCAGAACCCCCCAACACTAGATAAGAAAGGGACAGATCACAGGTCAGACTTAAAGCAGCTTAGAATTGCAGACTCTTAGACAGATTGTTGCCATTGAAAAACATATTTTAAACACAGACAGCTATTTCTGTGAGCAGATGAGAAAGTGAGTCTGCTAAAAATAAGAGAGAGCTCTGTCCTCACCATGGAATTCCACCAGTCCATCCTGGTTCACCCAGTAAGACTTCAGCGGATTTCACAGTTGGAAAGCTTTTGATTATTTCTATTTCGGGGGCAGAAAACTGAATCTTTAGCTGGGTTTCTGAAATAACTCTCAGGGGGGATTTTATGTTATTTCAGTACAAAGAAACTACATTTTGTTTTGCACGGTGGTGACAGGCAGTGCAGAAACGTTAAATGATATTGTGATCTTGGTCTCCGAGCTACAGCTAGCCCTCTGCAGTGCCCTCTTTGTCCCCACTTCTTGGGGACGGACACTTGTAAGGAGACCACCCTCATATGCTGAGTGCAGGACCAAGACTTCACACAGATGGCCCCATGCATGAGGTCAAGAGGTACGTGTTGAGTGTCTGTGCTAGGTCTGTCCTAGGAGCTGGAGATAGAACAGTGAGAAAAAGGGCCCTGTCCTCCTGGAGTTGACATCCTGATAGAGCCAGACACTAAACAACCCGTAAGTCCCCCAGGGGAAGAGCTGCCTACGAGAAGCACCCTACAGGGCAGTCAATGGCTACATGATGGTAAGAGTAGGGGGGCGGTCAGGACCCGCCTCGCTGGCGTGATGTCAGTGCACTTGGGATCTGAAGGACAAGAAGGAGCCAGCCATTCCCTAGGAACTCTGAGAAGCAAGCCCATTCCAGGCCAAGGTCACAGTGCACAGGCCCAACCGGACAGAGGCCTGGAGTGTCCAAGAGGCAGAAGGAAGTCTGGCGTGCTGATGTCTGGCGCCAAGGGAGTGAAAGGATGTGAGGAGTCTGGGGAGAGGGGTGGTGGCCGGATTCTGCAGGGCTAAGGCATCTGGATTGATTCCAAGTGCACTGGAGAAGGCGCTGGAGCTTTTAAGCAGAGAATAGTCTGGTCCGGTGTGTGTCTGTGAAAGGTTGTTCTCATCCGTGTGTACAGACGGGTCTGGGGTCAAGCGTAAAAGGGAGGAGCCCGGGAAGAGGCCACTGCCCTCAGCCAGACCTGGGTGCTGGGAATCCGTGGCCTCCCAGCTGCCTTGTTGATGACGAGGGAGCAGATGGCTGCTGGCTGAAGGCAAAGCATGAGGTTGACACCCTGCAAACCACCCCTCCCCCACACGCCTGGGAGGGACACGCGTGACATTCTTCCAGGAAACTTTCAACTATCTTATCGTTAATGCCTTGCCAGAGGGGAAAACAACTTTAATTTGACAATGCCAAAGCCTCCAGTATCTGGTAGGGCCATTTCAGCACAGGAAAGTTCTTTGGAAAACCTCCCCTAGCCTTACGTGCCCCAACCCCACAGTAGAAAACCAATTGCTCCTCACACCTCCAGGGCAGCTCTTTCTGCCCTGGGGTCCTGTCCCCTTGCTTCGAAGACCTCTTGAGAATTCTTTCTTGGCTGGAGGCTCCAAACCCCACCCCACTGAGCCTTACCTATATTCCCAAACCTGCATCATTGAGCTCCCCACCTCCCCTTGAGGCCCCGGGGGCAGTTGTGGATACACCAGGGCAGGGAGGGAGATCTGAGTGTCACTGGCGTAGAAAGCCAGACAAGGAGCCAGCAGAAGTCTAGCTGAAGACAAAGCATGAGCTGACACCCTACAGGAACCCCACCCCCACTCCTGGGTGGCTTTTGTGGGACAGTCTTCCAGGAATCCCCCAAGTATCTTGTTAATGCCTTGCTAGAGGGGTAAAGGACCTTAACTCGACAATGGCAAAGCCTCTATTATATGGTAGGTCCTCTTCAGCGTATGAAAATTCTTTTGAAACCTCCCTTTTCCTTAGTTCCCCCAACTCGCAAAGTCCCAAGCATATAATGGGCCCTTCCTCAAAAGGGCGCCTCCCCTTGCCCCCAGCCGCTTTCTGCCCTTGGGTCCTGGTATCTGCGCTTTAATAAAACCACCATTTTGCACCAAAGAAGTATTAAGAATTTTTTCTTGGTCATGGGCTCTGGATCTCACCCCACTGAACCTCACCTATAGTCCAAAACCACATCAAGAGGACTAGATGAAAAAAAAAATTAAATTAAAAAAAAAAAAAAAGAGGACTACATGAGACCACCTGGGAAGAATAGGTAGAGGGGAAGGGGAGGACAGACTGATGGACAGGAAGGCAGGCACTCGCAAAACTGGCAACATAGAAGCCAAGAGAAAAAAAGTCTCCTGAAGGTGGGAGCAGCCAACCACGAGACCGCGAGACGGGGACTAGAGTGGTAAGCAGATCAGGGCTGGAACCACAGAGGCAGGAGCAGCTAACAGGACGCACTGAAAACGGGATCTGTGGGTACAGATGAGGCTTTTGAGAAAGCCTGGTGGGAAGGGTGGCAGGAAATGGGGGTGCAGAGGCAAAGGCAAGAGGTGCCAGAGCAGGAGTGTTGGGTGATGGGAGCCAGTCAACAGTGGGAAAAGATGATGAAAGAGGGGGTTGTGCCCACAGGGGACGAGGTCCAGACCCAAGTGCGGCAGGGCCCTTCCTCCACAGGCATCAGGGGCTGGCGGATGGTGAGGGTAAGATCCGGGTAGGAAGGTGAGGGCTGGGAGAGTGTATTGTGTGGAGGTTTCTGTGATGTGTCCTGCATGTTGTCTGTGAGACTCGTGCTGCATGAGTGACCTTGGGAGCCCGATTCATTGACATTAGCTGACCTCCAGGTCACAACTGGCCCTTCTGGTCTGGACACCAAGACCCTCCAGCTCCAGGCAGGGCCGGGCCCCTGGATCGGAATCCAGGAGGGGAGGCCAGCATCTCTAACCCAGGTTCCCAGGAGACGTAAAGACGTAACATAGAAATGCAGCTTTCCAAACTGCCCCTAGGCAAACAATGTTTAACTTCAGACCCCCATGTGCCCTATAAATACAGCCCTTATGGGCACGGTCAGTTGGAATTCTCACCGAGGGGAGGATGCTCCGTCCAGGCCTTTCCTGGGGACTCCAGCCTGGCTGTCGCCACAGGGCAGCCCTAGCCAGTGAGAGGCTGGATGTCTGAAGTGTCCGATTTGATCGACCTTTGTCTTCTCCTTTACTGCCCTCACCAATGCACAGATTTCCCTTTTCTATTAGATTTTTATATAATCAATAAAGTGTCTCCCCCAGTCAAAACTGAAGAGTACGGTGGCTGCCGTGAATCTTCTCTTCAGAACAGAGAGCAGGATTTTAACCCGACACCTTCAGCCCCTGTGGGGACACAGAGACTTTCCAAGGAATACTGGTGTGGCCAGTTAGAAGAACATCCATTTCCAGATCCCCAAGTGTCCTCACCTCCCGTTTTCTGAAAGCGGTCATCCTGACCATGTGCGGGTGTCAGCGATAGCCTCTATCCCACTTTACAAAAGAAAAGGCACACCTTTCACCCATTCTAAACACCGTGTTGGTGACCGTTGAAGGGTGGAAACAGCCCCAACTTGGCACCAGACTAAGGGCAAAGCTGGTCTGACAGTGAATCAAGCTTCACAGGCTACTTACAGGATATTAGAAATGAGGACGTCGGTCTACAGCTTAAAGATTAGTGGGGAGGGACAACCACGATCAGTGGATGACTCAGTAATTCCCTCGCTCGGGAGGAGGGGGCTCTGAGCGGTAGAACAAGAATGTGGACCAGAGTGGAGACTACAGACCCTGAGGGATTTGGCTGAGGTAGAAGGATGAGTGGGCTCCTTCTGCAAACAGCTGGAACATAAATATTTTCAGCTTTGTAGGCTGTAAAGTCTGTATCACAACTACTCAACACTACAAAGATGGTCAAAGGCAATAGTCAACCAGTGACCTTGCCTAAGTACCAGTGATGTATTACTTACAAACACGGGCAGCAGCAGACCTCATTCGTGGCCTTCCCAGGCATTTACTTTTTTTCCAGCCCTCTGGAAAAAGGAGGTCTTGCTAGGGAGTGTTTGGCAGGTTTCCTGTTACCAGAGGGGTGGGTGGCAGTGAGGGGAGGGGGCTTACTTGGGGACAAGAGGGATCAGAGGCCAGGTGAAGCTTGGGAGGTATTTTTCATTTGGGCTGGGGGAGGGTGTTTAGGGGAGGAGGAGTAGGCTGGGGCTAGGGGGTGACAGTATGACATAATTAGATCTGCATTTTGAAAAGATGGCAGGGATACTGGGGAGCCTGAGGGAGCCAGGAACTTACTGCAATGGTGAAGGGGCTCCAACTGGACTGTGAGAAAGGGAGGGGAAGGGAGGGGAGGGGTGCGATGGTTCTGGAGCTACTTAGTAGGGAACACCACAGGGCAGGGCAGAGAGGGGCAAGCCGGTGTGAGAGTGATGCGGGAAACAATGGCAGAAGAAAAATTAAATTCCCTGAGAACAACCCACTGATGAGTCCTTGAAACCGGCAGTGACCTTCCTCTAGGAACTCAGCTGCCTCAATGTTAATACTTTGGGAAGGGCAAAATGCAATCTTAACCCAAACCCCAGGATCCTGTGAGTCTACTTTAACATGTAAAAATTCTTTGGAAACTTCCTTTGTCTCTGTTCCCCAAGATACATGTTGGCAATCATCCCCCAAGCCTAATACCCACTAATATACATCTAAAGGGTCTCACGACTAAGGTTTTACTAGATACTAAAATGACATTTTTTCAACGGTAGCTAGCCCCTTCAAGGTCCTGGACACCTTGCTTCCAAAATTCCTTGGAGACTTATGCTCTCCCTAACCCCCTCCCAATTTGAAAATATATCAGGGGCCACTCCTCATGACCCCTCTATCTGCCCACAGGTCCTGTCCCTGTACTTTAATAAAACCACCTTTTTGCACCAAAGACGTCTCAAGAATTGTTTCAGAAGGAAGCAGGCAGCTTTGAATCCTAACTTCTTTCCTACATCAGATAGGACAGCCAGGTGCGGGTTTATGGCGAGGAGAGATAGGAAAAGCTATGAAAACACTTTGAGCTGAGCCTACGCTTAGAAACTGCTTCCATCCCCTTCACCCCCCAATCACTGCATTTCTGTGGTGACCCTCTGGTGCTCTACTCACGTGCACAGATCTAGAGGACCACCAGGACCCCTCCCCAAGATGATGGACAGGGAGTGCAGAGATGTGGCACCAACTAGAAGTCACTGAAGTTTTGGGGGATACAAGGGGTCTGGTTCTGTGCCCCTCTACTCACCTTAGGGTAGGGAACTTTCTTGTACTGGATAGATGTCTGGGAGACATATCTCTTAGAAGTGAACAAAGAGAACTCTCTTTCTAGGGAAGAGAAAGAAGAATGTGCTTCATTCTTGTCCCCGACAGGACACTGCAGACCACAAGTTCTGACACGGCCCCCTCCCTGGAGGCCACAGCAACAGCAGGACAATGAACCTCAGGCAAACCAGAGCCCCTCAGTCCTTCCCTCTGCTGTGTGACCTTGGGCAAGTTACCTAACCCCTCTGATCCTGTTAAAGGTTTGAGTACCAACTACCTTGCAGGGCTGGTGAACCAATTAAAGTAAACAATGTAAGCAGAGGCCAGTACCCAGGGCAAGCACTCAACTCATATGAAAAAAAAAAAGTACTGGCTTCAAAAGAAAAACAAAAAACTCAAAACCCTGAAATATCAAAATGAGTAAATGTTGAATTAAACACTTAAAAAAGTAACAGTCTATCAACCTGAGGGAGGGTCATTAAAGTTGGAGACAGTTTACAGTTTACATTTTTTTTTTTTTTTTTTTTTTTTTCAGTTTGAAACTTCTGTGTGTTTCCTGGTGGTTCCTGGGAAAGCAGATGTATTGAGCGGGTCAGTAAATGCGAATCCTTAGAAAAGCAGCCCTGAAACTGCCGGGTTCTGAGGAAGTAGTTGTAGGAGCATTTCCACCCAGTAAGTACAGTCATGCTTTTCTCCGAGGCCTGGCTTCCCTGTGCCCTGGGCCAGTGCTTCGCAAACTGGACAGCCCTCAAAGATCATGGCGGGGGTGGGGGGTGGGGGGTGGGGGGTGGGGAGGGGTGCCCATCCAGAGATGCTGACGTGGTTCATCCTTCTAGGCTCTGCCCGTGGACCCTCCAGGGTCAGGAAGATGACCACGGTGTGGACAGTACTGGTGTGGACAGTACCTCCACTTGGGAGGCCCCTCTGTCCTGCTGAGCGGCCTCACGTTCCCTAAGGGAGGTAGACCAAGGGGCTACTAGGGACGTGGCTGTGTGGCCTAAATTTCGCACTAGACTGCGCCACCGGGCTGTGCATGCCTGGTGCACAGAGTCCTTTCCTCATCTGTAGCATCAGTAAGAAAGGAAGCCTCCCGCCACTGACTTCTCTGAACTCTAACTCTCCTTATCTGTGAGATGGATTTAGTGTGTCCTTGAGTTGGTTGTTGTGAGGATTAAGTAAAAGGATAAGGAGGCCAGCAAGGAGCCTGGCCCAGAGCAGACACCCAGTTCCTGGCGTCCTTGGGTACAGTACCAAGTCCCACCCCTGCATCCCAGCTGTGATGCTACGCTGAGTCTAACTATAATTTCTAAGCATGAGCATTTCAGTCATTTTGGTGGCTAGTGTGGGGGAGTGTGAGAGGTAACCTGGCCTGAGTACTTAAATACCAAGGCCCTATCCTGCCCCAGCTGGATGGCAGCTGGTGCGGCAGGGGCGCCGGGGGGAGGGTGGGGGGCCCTAGGTGCACGAGGGGTAGCTTACTCTTTAACAGTCTTCTCTGCAAAATTAATTTTTCTCTCCGGAATCTCTCTGGATCCAGTTCTGAATAGTTCCAGCTGTTGTAGCTCTGTAGGCAAGGGTAGATGCCTAAAGGAGCGAAGAATGAGCAGGAAAACCTCCATAAAGGAGAAAGGAGGCAGAAAGCTGAAGACAGAGCCCCACCCCCTGCCCCCCTGCTGGTCCTGGGGCGGGGGAAGCTTCTAGCATTAGCCTCGCCCTACACTGGCCCTGTGGTCTTGGGGGAGTCACTTCCTCTGTGGGAGGCTTTGGTGCCTTCTTCTGGAAAAGAAATGGTTAGGTTTGCCCTACCCCACCCCTCCGACCCCCCAAGAGCATGGGTCTGATGACTGGATCACACCAGGACATGTGACCCTGTGCGGCACAGATGTGAAGGCATTGTCATCATTCCTTTTCCTGCTTATCTTCTCTGCTCTCGCTGAACTCTGAGCCCCCTGAGCGCAGGACCTGGATCTTACTCACTTTTGCCCCTTGAGGGCTTAGCACTGGACCTAGCGCATGACAGAGAGGAGCTTAGTATTTGCTCAACGTATTATCACATTTAGCTAACCGGAAATGGCTCTCCCTAAACATTTGATGGTGATGTTCATGGGCCTAATGCTTTTCTTGTAAGCAAACCATGTGTTTCAGAGTCTTGGCTTCTTGGAACCTGAACCCTCAGACATTAGAAGGGCTCCACTGTCTCCCTCCATTCTTTGGTTTAGAAAGGAAAAGACCAAGGATCGCTTGAGAAATCTTGAACTCTTATGCAAAGATGCTGTCTCCATTGGACAAAGTAAGGGGACAGGAAGTTTATTATTGAGGATGGATTAGGGGAAAGAAGTACAACCTTGGACAAAAAAGGAGAATAAAAAAGGAGGAACAGAAAGAAAAGAGTCAGAGAATGCGAGGCAAGATGGCATAGTGGTTGGGGCACCTGGGTGGCTCAGTGGGTTAGGCCTCTGCCTTTGGCTCAGGTCATGATCTCTGGGTCCTGGGATCAGGCTGGCATTGGGCTCTCTGCTCAGTGGGGGACCTGCTCCCCCCCACCCCGCCGCCTGCCTCTATGTCTACTTGTGATCTCTCTCTCTCTCTCTGTCAAATCAGTAAATAAAATCTTCAAAAAAAAAAAGATGGTGTAGTGGTCAAAGACGTAGCTGTGCAGTGGGACAGCCTGGATCTGAATGCTTATGCCCCCATTTTTTGCTGCGGGACCTCATTGATTTTGCATATATTAAGAGGATCAAATGGATGTGTGTTGGGGGGGAGACTTAGCAGGTCCTGGCTATCCTTGAAAAATCTTGCTTGCGAGGTTGGCCTTTGGCCAGCATGTGCAAGTTGGCTGGTAAACATTTCTTTACATGATACCATTTTCCCTAACTAGCTAGAAGAAGTGATACATTTCTAGAAGTGTACGAATTACCAAGACCAAATCATGAAGAAATATAAAATCTGAACAGACAAATGATGAGTTAGGAGGTGGAGTCAGTGATCAAAAAACCTCCCAAACAAAGAACAGCTCAGGACCAGATGGCTTCACAGGCAAATTCTACCAAATATTTAAAGAATGAACTCCAATCTTTCTCAAACTCTTTCAAAACATTGAAGAGGAGGGAACACTTCCAAACTCATCTTACAAGGCCAGCTTTACCCTGATACCAAAGCTAGATAAGGACACTACAAGAAAAGAGAACTACAGGCCAATATTCCTGGTGAATATAGACATAAAAATTCTCAAGACAATATTAGTGAACAGAATTCAAGATCACATTAGGAAGACTGTACACCATGATCAAGTGGGACTGAGCCCTGAGATGCAAAGATGGTTCAACACCCACAAATCAATCACTGTGATACACCATATTAATAAAAGGAAAGATAAAAATCACCCGATCATCTCCGTAGATGCAGGAAAAGCATTTGACACAATTCAACATCCTTTCATGAAAAAACTCTCCACATTTGGATACAAAGGGAACATAACTTAATGTAATAAAGACCACATAGAATAAGCCCACAGCTAATATCATACTCAATGATGAAAAAAGTGTTTCTTCTGGGGTGCCCGGGTGGCTCAGTTGGTTGGGCGGCTGACTTCAGCTCGGGTCATGATTCCAGGGTCTTGGGATCGAGCCCCATATTAGGCTCCCTGCTCAGCAGAGAGCCTGCTTCTCTCTCTCCCCCTCTCCCTGACGTTCTGCTTACTTGTGCTCTCTCTCTAGCTCTCTGTCAAATAAACAAAAAAATATATAAAAAAAAAAAAAAAGAGAAAGAAAAAGTGTTTCTTCTAAGACCAGGAATGAGACAAGGATATCCACTCTCACCACCCAGAATAATTAGACAAAAACAAAAACAAAAACAAAAAAAAAACAAAAAACAAAAAAACCCCCACAAAACCCAAACAAAACAATGACAACAACAACAAAGATGAAAAGAAAGGAAAGAAAGAAAAAAAAAATGCTATCCAACTCAGAATGGAAGAAGTAAATTTGTCTCCGTTTGCTGATGACATGATGTTGCGTATAGAAAAACCTAGAGTCCACCAAAAAAAGTTAGAATTAATCAACAAATTCAGTACATTGTCATGATACAAAATCAACAAATAAAAGCCAGTTGGAAAAAAAAATTAAAAAAAAAAGCCAGTTGGGTTTCTATATTCTATACACTGACAATGAGTTATGTGAAAAAAAAGAAAGAAAACAACCCATTCACAATAACATCAAAAACAGCAAACTACTTAGGAGTAAATTTAACTAAGGACGTGAAAAATCTATACGTTGAAAACTGTAAGACACCGATGAAAGAAACTGAAGAAGATACAAATCAATGAACAGATATGCTATGTCATGGATCAAAAGAATTAAAATTATGAAAATATCCAAACTACCCAAAGCCACTATAGATTCAATGCAATCTCTACCAAATTAAAAAAAAAAATTCCAATGGTATTTTTCACAGAAATAGAGAAAACCATCCTAGAATTTGTGCGGATCCACAAAAGACCCTGAACAGCCAAAGCAATCTTGAAAGTAAGCAAAGCCGCAGACATCATGCTCTCTGACTTTAAACTATATTACAAAGCTAAGAAATCAAATAGTCCAGTCCTGGCAAAAAAACAGACACATGGATCAATGAAACAGAACTGAGTGCCCAGAGATAAAATGTGGTCAACTAAAATTTGATAAGGCGGCCAAGACTATACAACGCGGAAAGGACAGTCTCTTCAATAAATGGTGCTGGGAGAAGAGGACAGCCACACGCCAACCAATGAAACTGAACCCCCTTCTTTTACACCACTTACAAAAATCGACTTGAAATGGATTAAGGACTTAAATGTGAGATCTGAAACCATGAAACTCCTGGGAGAAAATAGAGGGGGAAATCTAACATTGATCTTGGCAATGACTTTTTGGTTACGACACCAAAAGCACAAGCAACAAAAGCAAAAAATCAACAAGTGGGACTCCATCCAGATAAAAAGCTTCTGCACAGCAAAGGAAACAACAAAGGGAAAAAGCAACATTTGGAATGGAAGAAAACCTTTGCAAACCATAAATCTGGTAAGGAGTTAAATATCCAAAGTGTATAAGGAACTCATAGACTCCATAGCAAAAAACAAACAAACAAACACATCATCTGATTAAAAAATGGGCAAATTAAAAAATACCTGAACAGGTATTTTTCCAAAGAAGACATGGCCACCAGGTACGTGAAAAAGAAGTCGGCATCACTTATCAACAGGGAAATGCAAACCCAAACCGCAAGGAGATGTCGTTCTCACATTTGCTATAATGGCTATTATCAAAAAGACAAGAGATAACAAGAGTGGGGAAGGATGTGGAGAGAGGAGACAAGGAACCCTGCGTAGGAATGTAAATTGGTACCGCCACTGTGGCAAACAGTAGGGAAGCTCCTCAAAAAATTAAAAATTGAACTACCATACAATTCAGGAATCCCACTCCTGAGTACAAGATGTCCAAAGGAAATGAAATCCCTGTCTCCATGAGATCTCTGTAGGGCCACGTTCACTGCAGCATTAGTCACAACAGCCAAGACAGAGAAACAACCTGGGTGTCCATCAATGGATGAATGGAGAAAGACAGGGGTAGAGCTACATGATGGAATATTATTCAGCCGTAACAAAAGAAGGAAAATCAGACACTGCGACCGCATGGATGACCCTTGAGGGCGTTATGCTAAAGTGAAATAAGGCAGACAGAGGCGGACAGACACTGTAGGATCTCACTTACAGGTGGAACCTGAAAAACCAAACTCATAAAAGCAGAGAGATGAATGGTGGTTGCCAGGGGCTGGGGCCGGAGAAAAGGAAGGGATGTTGGTCAAAGGGCATAAACTTCCCATTATGGGAGGAACCAGTTCCAGGATCTAATGTACAAGCGTGATGACTATAGTTACTAATACCGTGTTGTAGGGATGCCTGGGTGGCTCAGCCGGTTAGGCATCTGCCTTTGGCTCAGGTCATGTTCCTGGGGTCCTGAGATCGAGCCCCGCATCAGACTCCCAGCCCTGCAGAGAGTCTGCTTGTCCCTCTGTCCCTCCCCTTGCTCATGCTCACACTCGTTCTCTCTTGCTCTCTCTCTCTCAAATAATAAAACTTAAATAAAATTTTAAAAAAGTACCGTGTTGTATATTTGAGTGCTGCTACGAGAGTAGACCTTAAGTTTTCTTGCCATAACAACAAAACGGTAATTGTGTGTGAAGGATGTGTTCACTAACCTTATTATGGTTAACATCCCCAACATGTACCTGCATCGAGTCATCACTTTGGGCATCTTAGACTTACACAATTTATATGTCAATTATAACACTATAGCTGGGGTGCAATTTTTTCCCTAACTGATCAGAATGGCTCACTGGGTCTAGGCTATCTACAGAACAATGAGGCTTCTGCGGAACACCTGGTTTTCTGGCATTTTGGTATAGGATAGACAGAGGTGTCTACATGACCGGCCCCCAGTATAGACCTTGGGTCATGTGTCTCTAGCAGGCTTCCCTGGGCAGAAACATCACATGCGCTACTACGTTTTTTTGCAGAGGGATGAGCGCATGCTGCCTAACTTTTCAGGGAAGGGAGGGAGCAGAAGGAAGCCTGCCCATGAATTCCTCCAGACTCTGTCTTTTCCCCTAGGAGTTGCTATGACCTTAGCCATGAATGTAACTACATGCTGAGGCTGTGAGTTCTCCCAGCAAATATCCTAATGTGGCAATGAACCTGGAGACCCCCAAGACAGCAGGAAAGAAGTGCTGACTTGGGATAGTACTTAGTACACGGGAACTTCTTAATAGGTAGTAGGTGTTAATGACCTTAGAAAATAGCTCAGTCAAGAAGAGGGGAATAGGGGCGCCTGGGTGGCTCAGTGGGTTAAGCCGCTGCCTTCGGCTCAGGTCATGATCTCAGGGTCCTGGGATCGAGTCCCGCATCGGGCTCTCTGCTCAGCAGGGAGCCTGCTTCCTCCTCTCTCTCTGCCTGCCTCTCTGCCTACTTGTGATCTCTCTCTGTCAAATAAATAAATAAAATCTTAAAAAAAAAAAAAACAACTTTATAAAAAAAAAAAAAAGAAGAGGGGAATAGGGAACAGGAGTGACAAGTAGTTAAAAGCGAACATTAGCTTGGCATTGTGTGTGGCAGGGACTAGGGGACTACAGTTGGGTCACATGGGGTCACCTGGGAGTGGAAGGGCGGGATCTTCCAACCAGCATCCTTTCTTGGGTTCCTGAGCTCTGGGTCCATTAGTCCACAGCACATGGCTAACTAGGCTCTGCTGAAACCTCCTTTCTGCAGATTACCGGGCACAAAGAGGGGTCTAGGAATGTCTCAGAACTGTCTTTTTGTGGAAGCAAGGAAATTGGTACTCCTGGGGGCTCTAACTGCACATCTTCCCTTCTTTGATGTCAACAAGAGAAAGGGACAAGGGCCTCAGTGAAGGGTGTGACGGCAAACCACACCCCTAGGCTCAGGCAGGAGTGTGTTTCCAGAATCGCACCCCCCCCCGACCCCAGAGCAGCCCCCTCTTACCTGAAATCCACAGGCTCACCGTGTTACAGATGCTCGATTTGAATTCGTGCGTGTTGAACCAGGACTGAGGGAAGCAGCAACAGAAGCTGGTATACACAGCTTTACTCAGCAGCGATGGCAGCTTCTGTGGGTCGGGGGAGAGGGCAAACAGATCTCGGGCAACATCCTGGACATTTCTAGACCCAGAAAAGAGCTCCTAACTGCAGAAAGGATCTGTGCTAAACCTCTCTACCTGATACCGCGCTGCTTTCCACCCATGGAGGGGGAGCAATTTCCATCTGCTGCTGGCCCACATTGTGGTGGACTCTTTTTTTTTTAAAAGATTTTATTTATTTGTCAGAGAGAAGCGCACACACAAGCCGGCAGAGAGGCAGGCAGAGGGAGAGGGAGAAGCAGGCTCCCCGCCGGGCAAGGAGCCCAATGCGGGGCTCGATCCCAGGAACCCAGGATCATGCCCTGAGCCGAAGGCAGCAGCTTAACCCACTGAGCCCCCAGGCGCCCCTGTGGCAGACTCTTCACCCTACCTGGGACCACACCTCAACCCCATGAGAGGCTTGGCCAGGAACCTCCCCTCCCCCAGCTCCTCTGCTCGCCACCTGTGTCTCAGCCGGTTCTGCCACTCGGCCAAAGTGTGGCCCAGACAACAAGATACATTTGACCTGCCATCTTGCTGCCTCCCGCATACCTAACTGTACTCCTACTGTTTTGGTTTTTCCCTATGCGTAATTGGTACTGTTGTTCCTTCTTAACTATGGTTGGTCTCAAATTATACATTTACATCTGGCCTTATTCATTTAACAATATAGTGTAAGCACTGCTCCGGGTTGTTATCAACTCTTTGGAATTTTTTTCCCTTACGAATGACCTTCATACTATTGGGCTGATTGGCATATCAAAATTTACTTCGACATCCCCCATCAATGGCTGTTGTCTTGTTTCTAAGACTTTACAAATTACGTGGACTAAATTGTTTTTATTTGTTAAGCTATCTCTGTGTCTGGCACAGAGCAGGCAGTCAAAAATCTGTGGAAAGCATGTGTGAAAGCCGCTTTTCCTGAGTATTCGATTATGACCTCCAGAAGACGCCATCATGATAGTAATTACAGCAGCTATCATGCTCTGGGGGCTTATCAGGTGCTGGGTACTGTGTCAGGTGCCTTACAAACATCATCTCATTTAATCCTTAGTACAACTCTGGGAATGAGCCATCATTATGCCCATTTTATGGATGATGAAACTGAGGCACGGAAAATCTAAGTGACTTGGTAGGCGCACACTTAATTAGTATAAGCGCCTTGTAGCAAAAATGTATCAACTCACTTCCCAGACTGTCGGAATGCCATTTCCCCAGATCCTTCACAACCCTGGGAACCACTCTTTTTAATCCATGCACTCTAACAGGTAAAGAGGGGTATCAAATGATTATTGTTTTAATTTGTATGTTTGACTGTTGTTCAGGGTGAATTCCCCCCACCCCAATTTGTATTCCTTCCCTGAGTAATTTCTGGTTTAAGCACTTGGTCAATTGGTCTGTGCAGTGTTGCATTTTTTTCTCACTGATTTGTAGAAATTCTTTTTTTTTTTTAAGTGTTTATTTACTTAAGTAATCTCTGCACCCAATATGGGGCTCGAACTCACAACCCCGAGATCAAGAGTCGAATGCGCCTCTGACGGAGCCAGCCCAACGCACCAATTTGTAAGAGTTCTTTTATACTGTGTGATGTATATGCCACGTGATTTCTGCAGTTTTTCCTTTGCCTTTTAAGTCTGACTGTGGTAATTTAAATAATTTATGTAGTTAAATCGGTCGTTGTGAACATATATATATATATTCATAATTTTAAAATTACATACTTATTTAAATACTACAGAAATATTTAAAATAGAAAAGGAAGTCTCTTACAACCTCATTCCCCAGAGATAACCATTGCTAAGAGTTTGGTACAAATTTTTCCAGATTTTTTTTTTCTATTCATAGGCACACATACATATATACATACACACACACATTTTTAAACACAGAGTTCTATAAATTGCTCTGCTTTTCACTTAAAATAAACGGTATATAGATCTACTTTATTTACCGTCACTGCTGCATTACAAGTAGGTGTATAGATGTTGCACAACTTACTACTTACTGCCTCATAGGAAGAACGCTCAGGGCATTCTATTAGCATTAGAAGTGCAGAGATATCTAGTGTGATTTTTTTTTCCCCTCCAAACGGTGGTTGATGCTTACTTTTAAGAGCGCCTCTTCGTAGTGGGACTTGGATTCACACAATAAGAGAAAGGCGTAGTTTTGGGCTATCCGATCAAACATTTTATTCTGGAACTCCTTGTTGGGCTACCAGGAAAAAAGTGGAGAAGAAATTACTAGAGCCCCTGGTTGAAACGGCCAATGGCTGAGATGCTGAAATACGCATTTCTCTCGTGTTTAGGAATATTATTCTTGAGATGTTTAACCTCATGTGATTTCTGAAACAGTACACCAATTTTTAGAGGATTTATGCATAGAGGCCGATTGTTGAAGTAAGTGCCCAGACTCTGAGCTGGCAGGTCCTGACTCTGCTCCAAGCCTGTGCTTGACCAGGCAAGTGACAGGGACCGGTTCCTGGTGTTCAGGGGGCTACGTGTACAGTGGCTGAAGCACAGGATGTATGGGTGAGGCCCGGGGGGAGGGGGCGTGGCAGATGGGGCTGCAGGGGTGCTCCCCAGAATCAGGGGGGCTCAGCCCACGTTAAAGAGGCTAGAGTTTGTTCTGCAGAAAAATAACTTAAGCAAGGGAGAGAAGCGATCTTATTTGCATTTACCTGGTACCTCTCATGAAAGATCCACCAGAAGCTATCCAGCCATATGGCTCTTAGAGAAGGAGAAGAGAGAAACTTCTCTAATTCTTTATCTGAACAGAAAGACTTGAAGAAAAAGAAAAGAAAAAGAAAATCACATTATTATTGCTGTTTTTTAAGATCTTTTTTATTTATTCATTTGACAGACAGAGATCACAAGCAGGCAGAGAGGCAGGCAGAGAGAGAGAGGATGGGAAGCAGGCTCCCTGCCGAGCAGAGAGCCCGATGCGGGGCTCGATCCCAGGACCCTGAGATCATGACCTGAGCTGAAGGCAGAGGCCTTAGCCCACTAAGCCACCCAGGCGCCCCTATTGCTGTTGTTTTTGAAAAAAAAAAAAAAATTTTTTCACTTGGAGTCAAAGGCTGATTGATAATCTTCTCCTTCCAAGACCCGCCTTTCCTCCTACTCTCCACAGCTTGTTACTATTACTAATCACTCTGTCTTCCTGCCAGTCATCTTTGGAATGAACCTGTGTTGGTGTCAACTTAAAAACAACACTTATCCTTTCCAGTGAGTGCCGACTATTAGCCTTTCCAGGTGTTTTTACATGCTCTCATTTAACCACTATGATAATCTCCATTTTACAGATGAGGACACAGAGGACCCAGAGCTAAAATTACTTGCCCAAAGTAATACAGCCAGCAAGGGGCTGAGTGAGGACTGAGACCTGTCACTCCAGGCCCCTGCCCCAAGCTCTCACCTACTTGGATGAGATGTCATCAACAAACACAGATATTATATAAATGCAAATCACTGGACCAGGGGATTCTGCTGGGCTCCTAGTAAGCCTATGGAATTCTAAAATTAGATTTCAGACTTCATTGTGATGCAACAGGGTCTTGAACCTTACTCTGATTCCAAAGCTACTACCTTAATAATATAATAATATATATAATAATATAATAATGTGTCGGGGCGTCTGGGTGGCTCATTTGGGTAAGTGTCTGCATTCAGTTCAGGGCAGACGCTTGTGCTGTCTCTCAAATAAGTAAGATCTTTAAAATATACATATATACATATGTATATTTTACATGTATGTGTATATTTACATATTATGTATATTCATAAAAATATGAGATATATATCTCTGCTATTTTTTGATAATATACATATTATCGATATATGGGCTAATATACATAGCCCATGCGTCAGGCACTGGGCTATGCACATTCCCTCCCTATCCCACTTCATTTTTCACAATCTGTCTGGTAGATACCACGGGCATCCCCAGTTTATAGAAGAGGAAAGTACGGATGGAAAGTTTAGGATTCTGGCCCAAGGTCACATGGCCTGGGAGGCTCTAAAGTTGGGTTACCTAACCCCTTAGCATTACGAAGAGTAAAGAGATCCCACTCTTGTCCCCCTCCTGGATGCAAAGGGACAGACACCCCCCGCCCCAGCCTCCCTTCAGGCCCACGGAAGTGGAGGGCATCGTGAGTTGATAAGCAAGCCTCCCTCATTAGCAGGGAGCTCTCTGAGCCCTGGTATCTGCTTTGTCTATATCACCATTCCTCCCACTTCCCTGGAGGAAAAATAGAGTCAGAGCAGTTAAGAGTACTGACATCAGCACCAGACTGCCCGGATTCAAATCCAGCTCTTACACTTTAAAACTGGGTGATCTTGAACAATGTTCTCGAACCTGTATGTGCTCATTTTCCCTAACCAGATGAAACAGGGAATCTCCATAAGAAATCTGCTTTTTGCTCTTTTTCCTGCTCCTAGTCTTGCTAGGACCTGCACTGCCCACTTTACACAAGCCTCATAAAGCAAATAGTGTATGTCCTCCTTGTAAACGACAAGGAGTTAACAATTTCTCTAGAATAGACAACATCTAAGGAAGGACCAGGTGAGAATGACCGGACATGTGGTCATGTGCATAGTCTAGATCACTGGTGCTGGACACTGACACCAGGACACCCTGGCTTCAAGGAGTAATGTCTGGGCCTCTGTCATTGCTCAAACCAGTTCCTGGCTGCCTGAGAGGACATATACATCAGACCACCACCTTCAACAAAAACCCCGGACCCCGAACATAGACAAGACTCATACCCTTTTCCTTTCTGAGTCTCCCAGATGCTCTGTCTCCACTTGCCCTCTCTTAATTCCTTCAATAAATCCTGCTTTCACACCCTGCTGGCTTGGGTTTGATTTCTAGCCTGTGAGCAGCCAGGACCCCTCTTGGCTGGCCCTGGGGACCCCTCTCTGGATCCTGGGGCACAGCCTGCTGACATCAAGGAGAATGAAGGTGACAGCGATAGTCCCCACCTCGATGACTGATGCGATGATTCCATGAGCGAGTGAGACATACAAGGTGCTTAGAACCAGGCACTTGGGAAACACTCGCTAAGGGCATGCTAGTTCCTATTTATTTACTTATTCACACTTCTGTTTCCTTTAAAAAAGGACTTCATTTCAGCCCTTCAACAGATATTTACTGAGCACCTACTAGGTGCTTGGATGGTGATGGAGAGTCCCTGCGCTGGAGATGTTCCCAGGTAAGCAGACATTTGTAATCTAGTGTGATGGGTGCCCTGAGAGCAGGAATCCAGGGGGACGTGGAGCCCCGAGCGGCAGCTAACTTGTGCTTGGGGCACCAGGGGAGGCTCTGAGAGTAAAAATGACCAGATGAAGAAGGGAGAGCTGAGAGCTGCACAGACAGGGAAAAGCATGTGCCGAGGTTGGGAAACAGCAGGACACATTCGGGGAGGTTCAAGGGCTTTCTGGACTGTGGAAGACACTGGGTGTGGGCACTGAGAGGTCAGGCTGTGAGACACCTGAAGGCTAGGACTTAGGGTTCTTCTGCCACTGGACAGGGGGAGGGGGGACAGCCGGCCCTGAAGAGTTTTCAGCAGGGTGCAAACACCATGAAACTGTTGTTCTAGAAAGATACCTGGAGACAGCACAGAAGGTGCATTAGAGGGGACTGAGATGGTGAGGCCGATGGCATGCCAAGCAGCAGGGGCAGCGATCCAGAAAGGACGGTGTGGGGCCTGCACTTGGCAGTGGCAGTGGAGGAGAAGGAGGTACAGTAAAGACAGTAGGTGAATCTCAGGGCCGGCTCAGAAGCAGGGGCGAGGGAGGGAGGAGACTGGCTGATGCTTGGGTGGAAGGTGGCAGTTTTCGGTAAAACAGGAGGTGAAGTGGGTCTGAGGAGGCTGAGAAATCTGGGCATGAGGAATCTGGGAGTTGGGGGCACAGCACGGGCTTTGGAGGTATGACACAGTGGGGAGCCTCGCGTGGGGAGAAGATGACTGCTGCCCACCCTCTGCCGTCCCCCATGAGTCTGTGTGGAGGGAGAAGACAGCGCAGAGGCGGGGTCCTGAAGAACATGGGCTTGGAAGACCCAAACGTGCTGCTCAAGCAGACGGGGAAGCTGCCAGAGAAACCACGGAAGAATGGAACTTCTGATACAGGGAGTCATCCTCGGGGTCAGTTCCACAGACAGCCCATCTAAGGGAACAACTGAACACACCCATTGGACTTGGCCTTCTGAGAGCGGAGGGCAGAGGGACTCGGGCCACGTTCAGGGACGGGAATGGGGACAGGCTGCGGCAGCATTGGGAGAGAGTGGCGGTGAGAAGCGAGGGCAGCAAGTGTCCCAGGCGAGGCTCGGTGAGGGGCCGGTGCCCACCCCTGCTGCCTAGAGAGGCGAGAAGTGACAAGGAGAGGGCGTGGCTTGCGATGGCCCTGAGTAGGACCAAAGAGGGGCCTTTTAAAGGTACGACAAAGGGGCACCTGGCTGGCTCAGTTGGTGGAGTGTGAGACTCTTGGGTCTTGGGGTTGTGAGTTGGAGCCCCTGTGTTGGGTGTAGAGATTCCTTCAATAAAAAAAAATTTTAAGGAAATAATAAAATTAAATTAAATTAAAATAACAGTAAGATACAGATTTGCCTAGAGTTTCCTGGAAGCCAAAGAAAAGCATTAGTTAGAGGCACCAGTTATAAGATGAAAAGCATGCCAGGAGATGCACAGTTTTTCTGGGGATTAAGGCCTAAGGAGGCCCACTCCCCGTGGGCCCTCCAAAACAGGACATTAAGTAAGAGTGGTCACTGTCCTTGGAGCTACCCACAAAGCAAATTGGAACATGAGTGCATGTGGCTGTGCCAGGGGGCAGGAAAGTTACAGGGACAGCAGGTCCCTGCAACATACAATTTGTTTGTTCTCAAGTCTTTCCTCTACCTACCTATCTATCTAATTCAGAAGTGTTTTATTAGTGATCCGAAGGGACATGTGTACCCGAATGTTTATAGCAGCAATGTCCACAATAGCCAAACTATGGAAAGAACCCAGAAGTCCATAAACAGATGAAGGGATAAAGAAGATGTGGTATATATATACAACGGAATACCATGCAGCCATCAAAAGAAATGAACTCTTGCCATTTGCAATGTCATAGATGGAACTAGAGGGTATTAAGCTGAGCGAAATAAGTCAGTCAGAGAAAGGCCATTATCATATGATCTCTCTGATAAGCGGAATTTGAGAGGCAAGGTCGGGGGTCATGGGGGATAGGGAGGGAAAAAATGAAACAAGATGGGACTGGGGAGGAAGACAAACCGTAAGAGACTCTTAATCTCCAGGAAACAAACTGAGGGTGGCTGGGTGATGGATATTGGGGAGGGTATGTGCTATGGTGAGTGCTGTGAATTGTGTAAGACTGATGATTCACAGACCTGTACCCCTGAAGCAAATTATACATTATAAGTTAATTTTTAAAAATACAAAAGTGTTTTATTTATTTAAGTAATCTCTATGCCCCATGTGGGATATAAACTCATGACCTGAGATCAAAACTCGCATGCTCTTCTGACCGAGCCAGCCAGGCACCCCTTTCTTCTTTTTAAAGTACAGAAAAAGAGGGAAGAAAAAGCTATAACCTTATCACTCAGCGAACATTGGTAATATCTATGTATGGTTTCATCCCCAGATTTTCCTATGTGTGTGCTTATGGAATATTGTGTTGTAGAGTTTTATATACTAATATTTTTCACTTAACATCACAGCAGAGCAAAATACACTCTTTATAAACACTCATTTCAATGGCTAGCTAGGCCACGATATATGTACCCAAAATGACTAAGATGACCTTCTACTAATCATCCTTAAACAATTTCTAATAACGCTGATAATAGAAATTACCATTTTTTGAGAACTCATGATTTAACTAAGCATGGTGCCAAGTGCTTTTCATTTTTTTTAAAGATTCATTTATTTATTTTAGAGAGAGAGTGTGTGTGTGTGCATGTGTACTCTCTCCCATGGGCAGGGGGCTGGGGTGGGGCACAAGCAGACTTCTGCTGAGCGTGAAGCCCAACATGGGGCTCTATCCCAGGACCCAGAGATCAAGACCTGAGCTGAAAACAAGAGTTGGGCACTTAACTGACTGAGCCACTCTGGCACCCTCCCTAAGTGCTTTTTATACACTTAAATAAGATCCTTATCGTATTTTAATTTATACAATAACACCTCTAGGTAGAGACCACGCACATCCGTATTTTATAGAAGAAACTAGAGTCCAGAGAGCTACTTTCCAGGTCTTTGCCATCATACATAATCCTGCAGGGAGCGTCTCTTGACATTGTCCTGGGCTAAATGTGATGCTCTGAGAGCAGGCCACTCCTCCCCTCTGAGCTAAGGACAGCAGGGGATCAGGTACCCAACCCCAGAGCCACTACTGCCTGGTCAAAGGCAGCGGTCCACTTGCTGACCGCAGTCCATGCTGGAACCAGGCACTGGAACTCCAGCAAACATCATCCCCATGCTGGGCAGTAACTGGTCGGAACAGATCATCACTCTTAGAAAGTCTGAACACAAGACACGAGGAAGCAGATGGGACAGATGCAGAGACACAGAGGCAGCACTGGAGAGAAGGCAGCAGGGAGGACCAGTGAAGAAGAGAGGAGGGAAGGTGGGTAGGGGGAGGGGACAGAAAAGGAGGGAGGGAAAGAGAAAGAGGACAGAGGGAGGGAAAGGAGAGAGAGATAGAGATGGGGGAGTGAGGGGTTTGAAGCAGCAGTGGGAAGCGTGGGTAGTTAAGACTAAGAAGCTGGGTCTCCGCAATGGTGGGGTGACTAGTTAGGAGCCACAGGGACCATGATTGGACAATGAACGGTAGTTAGTTAACGTTCGTGAAGGGTGCTGAGGCACAGCTACAGGGCTACAGATCCACTTCCTTGGCCTTCCCCCTCCCCACCCCTCCTCACACTCGTCCCCACCTCCTGAGTACCCAGTGCTGTCTCACCCTTGTTCTGGGCCTTGGGAAGTCCCCCACCCCACCTCGTAAAGAACCCAGCACGCTCCATGTGGTAATTCACCCCAAAGGATGCCAAGGGATCCCACACCCCTTGGCACCCCTCAGAATATATTCTAGGAATATATTCTAACTAATATCTAATTTTAAAAAACAAACAAGAAATTAAGATTACTAACATACAATGTAGCTATTGACAACAGAGCATGTGTATCATTGATAAAGAAACATACACGGTGAGGGCACGTGATCAAAATTTCCTGCTGATATAGGATACATGATCAAAACAGTGTGGAAATCAGTCCCCTGGGAGGGAAAATCTAGGTTTCGGAGGGAGCTTGGGTTCCAATCTTGGTTCAGTCATTTGCAAACTGTGTGGCCCTGCGTGACTTAGTGACCTGGACTCCGTTTCCCTTTCCGGGGGTATAAAACAGGGACAGCTGCGTGTGCCTGTCGTGCGCATTGCTATAAAGCTGGGGTACAGCTGGGCCTCCTGGAGCTGACTGTGAACAGTGGGGAACCGCCCACCATCTTTCCTTACCTTGCCACTGAGGGGGTGTCTCTCAGAGCGGACCACATTGCCCACCATGTCACAGAAGTGCACCCCGTTTGGAAGCCTGTTTGGTATGGTGCTGTTCAACGATGTGTACTGGTACAGTTCTGCCAAGAGATTTTTGTGGGCTATTTTCTGAAACAAAAAGAATATGGAAATGAGGTTTGCCATTTGATGGTTTAAAACTAATAATAAGATACCTTCCCCTTTCATCACGAAGATGACATAACCACTTTTTACAACGCTGAAAAAAAATGGGGGTGCATTCATGACCCCAGCACCTCTTACCATACCTCTATTTGTGTTATTTTTATTTTCCCTTTCAGGCTTTGAGCACCTGTATACAAATGGGTATGTGTAATTCACTCACTTTACAAAACATAAACATACACACACACTCTCTCCACTTCGGATTTTCCATGTTGCTACACTGTCTTCAACTTTATCACTTAAGATGATAGATCCTTTTGGGGCACCTGGGTGGCTCAGTCGCTAAGCGTCTGCCTTCAACTCAGGTCATGATCCCAGGGACCTGAGATCAAGACTCACATTGGGCTCCCTGCTCACCAGGAGGCCTGCTTTCCCTCTCCCACTCTCCCTGCTTGTGTTTCTGCTCTCTCTCTCTCTGTCAAATAAATAAATAAAACCTTTCCAGGGGCGTCTGGGTGGCTCAGTGCGTTAAAGCCTCTGCCTTCGGCTCAGGTCATGATCCCAGGGTCCTGGGATCGAGCCCCGCATCGGGCTCTCTGCTCAGCAGGGAGCCTGCTTCCTCCTCTCTGCCTGCCTCTCTGCTTACTTGTGATCTCTGTCAAATAAATAAAATCTTTAAAAAAAATCTTTCCAAAAGAAAAAATCTTAAAAAAAAAAAAAAAAAGATAATAGCTCCTGTTAAGGAGATGTGCTATCATTTAATTAACTACTCACTGATGACCTCTAATTGATATTATCATCATTAATGATCAGAGCATATGGCTTCCTTCCTTTTGGGTTTATTTATTTAGAAAGAATTTCTGAAAGAGGCAATATAATAACCAAAAAATAGATGAAAATACAGAAAATTGGAAGAGGAAATTGATCGCCATCACCTAAGGCACCTACTGGAAACATTCTGTGGGATCAAGAAACTTTCTAATCGGCCTGTGGCATTGGCATTGGCAGAACTCCCTGAAGAACTGCTCTGACCGGGACTCAGACCACCTGACCAGCTGTGCCCCCTGGGGCTGGGCCTTCACAACTGCTCGGCCACCGTCAGAGGCAGTGTGGCACTTGAGACCCACTCTCGAGCATCGGGCTTTCCACTGTGTGGGAATTTCCTAGGCCGTGGTGACAATAATAGGTGGTTTTGCGGGTTCCGGCGTGGTTTGAATACATATGATGTGGGAGCTCAGAAGACTCTGCACTGGGGTGGCTTCGAGGTGGGGCCAAACCGCAGCCCCAGGGGCAGCCGCCAGCCCCTACATGGGGCGGGCAGTGGGGGCTCTGCCATCAGCCAGGTGATGATGCTGGACAGGCTGCTGTCAGCTTCCTGCGGTGTCCCAGTGACGGACACCACGTGCACTGGGTGTGACCCGGTCTCTTGGGGTGGGGCAGCACCCGGGCTCCTCTGAACTTACCGTTTCTAAGAGGACCCACCTTTTTTTTTTTTTTTTTAAGATTTTATTTATTTATTTGACACAGAGAGACAGCAAGAGAGGGAACACAAGCAGGGGGGAGTGCAAGAGGGAGAAACAGGCTTCCCACTGAGCAAGGAGCTAGATGTGGGGCTCGATCCCAGGACCCTGGGATCATGACCCGAGCTGAAGGCAGACACCTAACGACTGAGCCACCCAGGTACCCAGAGGACCCACCTTTGATGCTCTACAAAGAAACAGACAAATGACCTCTGAACACTCCTCATTTTACCCCTATGGGGGTGGTATATGAGAAATTTCAGAGTTATTAAGATACCTTAAGATCCTCTAAAAAGGGGCCCCCTGTGGGTCCCCCCCCCCCCGCACCATCACCAGCCAGGTGCCCAGCATGCCCTCCCCAGGAATAAAATCTAATTTTGTGCCCCATGGAAACCAGTCAGAAAGAGACCCAGCAATAGATCCCTTACCCTTTTAGAAATGAAAGGTCTGACACTCCTGGATTCGGAGCCTCTGCAGATGAACTCTGATTTGCTTCGACTCTTGTCTGCGGAAGAATGGAGGAGAAACAGGATGTGAGTAGCCATGGGGTCTGGGCCCCGCTGTGCGCTAATTATGGCTATGACTGTTCACTCTGCCTGAGCTGCCAGGTGATGGCCACACTGGTAGTCTCACTGGACCCCACCTGCATTTGGTGACTCACTAAGACTCCCCACCCCCCATGGGTTAGACTCCTTGCCCCGGGAGGAGCAGACAGAGCATGCGCTGTGAAGGCAGGCTGGGACCCGAATCCAGGCCCGCCTGCAGACAGGCTGTTCCCTGGCCCCTGAGCCGGTGCCCTCATCTGTAAACTAAGTTCAGTGGCACCTGCCCCACAGGTAGGGACATTATGAAGTTTTAACAAAGGAGTCTGCCCGAATGCCGTGGCGCAGCGCGCCACGTAGCAGGCTGTCTCTACGTGTGCCGTCCTTCCCTCCTAACTTGCCCAATGCTAGCAACTCAGACTCCTTCAGAAGAGGACGAAAACATCCTCAGCTGAAATGCTGGATTCCTGATTAACTGCATTTGGGATCCTAATGAAAGCCGATCCCCACAAAAACACCAGCAAGGCTGTATGAGAAAGGATATTTGCCTCTGTTTCTCAGGCCGTCTTGACTTTTCTCTCTCAAAGCCTTCTTCTCCAACTCATATCTCTCAATTGCCTTCAAAAATCAAAAAGAAAAGGGGCATTAGGGAATTCATGCAGATCTCAGGGCGGGGGGTGTCGGAGAGCAGGCCATGTCTCCTGCTGGTGTGGAAAAGGTCTGGAGCAAAGTTGGTGGCACGCCTCACATTCTCTCCATGGCCACCTCAACCGTTGGTGTCACTGACCGCCCCTGCCCCCACCAAGTGTCAACCACCAGTACATTTGCCTGCGCTGCCCTTCCTCCTGGCCTTGCTTCCTCTTGTCTATACCTCTGAGGGGTACAGAATTTGGAATGGGTCCAATCAAGCTCCATGAGTTAAAAGCTATTGTTTAAATCCTCTGTAGGGGGACAATGATATCTACCTTATCGGGTGTTTGTTAAGGATCAGATATAAAATACTGAACACATCTTAAAACATAAGCACAGAGGCTATGAGGTAGGAGCGGCTCAATAAAGGGTAATTACTATTATTATTAATCACCATACCCTTGACTTCTCAAGAGATTTCTCTTGATCTCTGACTCTCCCCACCCCAATCCCTTCTTGGGGAAAGAAAAGGAAAGAAAAATGAATGTCAGTGACCCAAAAAGTTGTACTGATTGTCAACCATGAGCCCAGTACCATTTTTGGATGATAAAGCTAATGAAGAATTAGCTCTGTGCTCTTGCCTTAGGAATTTACAACCTATCTGGACACTCACATCTGCACACATGGACCAATTAAGTCCTGAACTGCTACATTTGGGACTGGAACAAATGAGAGCAGTGTGAGCTGGAGCAATCACAGAGGACTGCCCAGAAGAGGCGGGACACAGTGTTGGGGGACATGATGAGGCATGTGTCTATCGTGCTTGAAACCCTGTGAAATGCCCCTCCAGCTTCCCATCACCTTATCCGAAATTGACATGTGCACAGGTGTAGGCGGATGGGAAAAAGGGTCACATGGCTAAGTCTGTCAACACTGTTGCTCCAAAAAAAGGAGTCCAAGAGGAGGCACAATGAGCGACTCGGATGGGTATAACCCAATGTAGCAAAACAGCAGCATCTCTGAGCCTTATCGGGATGCCATTGTAGCCAAGATTGTCTAGGTCTTGAAAGGATGGACGAGATTTGCACACAGAGAGAGCAGAAAGGACAGAAGAACATTGGAAGAAAAGCAAGTTTTAGGGGGAAATGAGGAGACCAGTGTGGGGCTGTTTGCGTTGGAGATGACATCGGTACCTACAAGTGCCAAGTCAACTCCCAAACCTGGCTGATGGCCAGCACAGCTGGGGAATTACTCACATAGACCAGTTCACTAGAGACGCTCGCTCCTGACATCTGCCTTGGGTCAGGAACTGTTTATTTATGGTGGCGCCTGAATAGTTCTCTATTTAAATTTTAAAAACCAGTAAATATTTTACAAGGTATAAAATCAAATAGTAGAGTCAGAAGTCTCCCTCTTAACTCCCCTACTCCCCACAACACCCTCAGTTCTTGTATACTCTCCATGTTCAAATGAGAACACATAAAACATACAGTTCTGTGCAATGTTCTTTTTCACTTTTAGGATTTTTTTTTTATTTTTTAAGATTTTATTTATTCACTTGATGGAGAGAGACACAGTGAGAAAGGGAACACAAACAGGGAGAGTGGGAGAGGGAGAAGCAGGCTTCCTGCCAAGCAGGGAGTCTGATGCAGGGCTCGATCCCAGGACCCCGGGATCATGACCTGAACCGAAGGCAGACACTTAATGACTAAGCCACCCAGGTGCCCCTTAGGGTTTTGGTTTTTTTTTTTAAGATTTTATTTATTTATTTGAAAGAGAGTGAGTGAGCGAGGATGAGCAGGAGGAAGGAACAGAGGAAGAGCAAGAAGCAGACTCCCCGCTGGGTAGAGAGCCCAATGTGGGACTCGATCCCAGCACCCCAAGATCATGACCTGAGCCAAAGGCGGATGTTTAACCAACTGAGCCACCCAGGCTCCCCTCACTTTTAGATTTTAAAAACCTCCCAGGAAGTCCAATGATCAGTTAGGTTTCAGTGTCACTGCTCCAGGTAGCTGGACTATGAGGCTGAAGCACAGGAGAGAAGCTAGAATTTGCAACTGTATCACTCATTCCACAGATATATCCTGAGCACCTGCTAAAGGCCAATGCCATGCCCAGGTCAAGTGCAGCAGTGAGCAGTGAAAGCCATCCCTGCCTTCCAAGGGCTCGAGGATCGGTGGGGAGAAGCAAGTGATTATGAGGTGATGGATGCTGCCGTGGGAAGGGACAGGATGCCAGACGTGTGCCCAGAAGGAGCACTGACACTACTCCTGGGGTCGAAGATGCTGGGAAGGCCTTTCCAGAGTGATGATCTGCGGGCAGAGCGTGGAAGGGAGGAAGACTGGAAAGGAGAGCTAAGGAGAGCTAAGCATGGTTCAGAGATGAGGAAAACCCACACTGAGTGCATGGAAGAAGGAAGAGAAATAGGACGTGGCTGTGTGGGATGCAGGGAGGGGATCTGGGGCTTACTCATTTTTTTTTTTTTTTAAGATTTTACCTGTTTATTTGACAGAAGGAGATCACAAGTAGGCAGAGAGAGGGGAAGGGAAACAGGCTCCCCGCCGAGCAGAGAGCCCGATGCGGGGCTCGATCCCAGGACCCTGGGACCATGACCAGAGCTGAAGGCAGAGGCCTTAACCCACTGAGCCACCCAGTAAGTAAGTAAGCCAGCCCCTTACTCATTTATTAGTACACATCAAGAAAGCACTTCTCAGGCCCCAGGCATCATGCTAGGTGCCAGCCAGGAGGGCAGCATGGAAGCTGGAGAAACCAGTCTGGCTAAGGGGCTGCCTCGGGAGAAGCAGCCACAGAGTCAAGGCCTGGTGAATAGAGAGCAGGGCAAACCACAGCCAACAGAGGGTGGGCAGGGTAGCCCCGGATGGGCTCTGGGGGCAGAAGGCAGACCCGACAGAGCTGACCAGCTGCTTGGGCAGAGGACAGGAAGGACAGGCAAGGAGTCCCTTCCTCCTAGTCAAAGGAGGACCCGAGACTGCTCTGGCCAGCCCCTTCCTGGATCCAACCGGCAACAGAGAGCACCCGAGGAGATATGCCAAAGCTGGGCAATCTTGAAAAGCCACTGGATCCTGCTTCTGGGAGCAAAACATTCTTTTCCTGCTTTTAACATTATAATTGGGGGAAAAAAATCACAGGACATACAAATACATTTCTGTTATAAAATACCCAAATACTACAGAATTATTTAGAGTAATAAATGTTTTACTCACCTCCCATGTCCCCCACTTTCCAGAACTGACTCCATGGATTGTGTGTAACCTTCTAGACTTTTCTCTTACATGTTTATACATATAGAATGTCCCTCCCGTGAGCCAGGCACTCTTCTCTGCCCTGGTTTAGGGGTTTTGGTGAGTTTTAACTCCTCTAATTCTTGCAACAGCCCCATGAGAACCTTTATTACTGTTATCCTCATTTTCTAGAAAACAGAGATTCACAAAGGTTTAATAATTTGCCTAATGTCACGATGTGAGAAAACAACAAAGCGGGAGTTTAAGGTTGGACAGTCTCACTCTGGAGCCTGTGCCTCTAGGGCTATGCCCTCTCCCATGGACACATGCACACACACAGGTACAAGGCTGCTTAAAGTCCATGCCACCACTCCAGACCCCGTGTGTGTTTTGCCTTTACTCACAATTTGTGGGGGAGGGGCGACTGAAACCAGTGGTCTGACTTCGGCATGAGCAAACAACAGTTTAGCCTCCGTGAAAGGCAATCCATTTTTACCAAAATTGGACAATTTCAATTCTAGAATCCTACCTGCAGAAATACTTGCGAACGAGCCCCAAGATACACATACAGAAACATTCCCATGTTCAGTCTGATGAAAATACCACTGAAATCGTATCAGTAGGGAACAGTCGAATTTATTACGTCACGATGTGGCATATTCCCTACGGATAAATTCAGTTATGGGCTTTTCAAGGTTCCCCAGCATTGGCATGTCTCCCCAGGTGCTCTCCAGGATTACACAGCCACAAAAAGAAAGGGGCAGGGCAACAGTATGGACTTCAAAAAATCTCCAAGAGATTCTAAAATAATTCTAAAAATGAATAAGGAAAAAAAAAAAAAAGGCAGGTCAACAAACAGCCACAAGGGTGGCTCAGTGGGTTAAGCCTCTGCTTTCGGCTCAGGTCATGATCTCAGGGTCCTGGGATCGAGACCTGAATCAGGCTCTCTGCTTGGCAGGGAGCCTGCTTCCTCCTCTCTCTCTGCCTGCCTCTCTGCCTACTTGTGATCTGTCAAATAAATAAATAAAATCTTAAAAAAAAAGAAAAAAGAAAACAATAACCCTGAATATGTGTGTTCTATTTTTCTAAATGTAAAAAAGAAGGTTTTGGAAGGGTACCCACCAAACGACTAATGATGGTCACTTCTAAGGAGGAAAATAGGGCTGGGAGTGAAGTAAGTTTCAGAGTTTACTTGTATACTTGTAGATGGTTTGAGCCATTTATTTATTTATTTATTTACTTAAAAGTTTTTTGTTTTTTTTTTAGAAAAAGAGACTGTGTGAGCAGGGGGAGGGGTGCGGGAGGAGGGAAACAGAGAGAGAGGATCCCAAACAGACTCCATGCTGAGCGCTAAGCCCAATGCAGGGCTCGATCTCACAACCCTGAGATCATGACCTGAACAGAAACCAAGAGTTGGACATTCATCTGACCGAGCCACCCAGGTGCCCTGGTTTGAATATTTTAGGATAAACATGCATGCCTTGCCATTTAAATTTAAAAAAAGAAAAGAAAAAAAGGGGTCACCTGGGTGGCTCAGTTGTTAGGTGTCTGCCTTTGGCTCACATCATGATCCCACGGTACTTGGATCGAGCCCCGCATCAGGCTCCCAGCTCGGCAGAAATCCTGCTCTCCCCCACCCCCCCAATCCTCCTGCTCATGTTCCCTCTCTTGCTGTGTCTCTGTCAAATAACCCCTCCCCAAAAAAAGACAGACTTGAGAGATGAAATGACCCCAAAAGTCAGCACTAGAAAATTTAGGGGAGGGGGTGAAGCTGAAATCTGTGGAGACAGTCACCAACTCAGGGCCCTGGGGACACAGAAACTTGGTGGAAAGCAAGCTGCTAAGGGTGATGTGGTTAGGAGATTTAGCTGGAGTGAAGTGGCAGAAAACACTTACAAAAGATACATCTGGTAAAGGACTGTCACCCAAAATATACAAAGAATTCTTAAAACCCAACCAGAAAAAAACAAACAACTCTATCAAAAAATGGGCCGAAGACTTGAACAGACACCCCACTTAAGATGATCGACATATGGCAAGCAGACATATGAAAAGATGTTCAATAGTACATATCAATAGCAAATTGCAAACTCAAACGACAGGGAGATATCGTTATATACTGATTAGAATGGCCAAGATCGGGACGCCTGGGTGGCTTAGTTGGTTAAGCGGCTGCCTTCAGCTCAGGTCATGATCCCAGCGTCCTGGGTTGAGTCCCGCATCGGGCTTCTTGCTCGGCGGGGAGCCTGCTTCTCCTTCTGCCTCTGCTACCACTCTGCCTGCCTGTGCTCACTCGCTCTCTCTCTAACAACAATAAAAAAAGAATGGCCAAGATCCAGTATACTGACACCACCAAATGCTGGTGTGGATGGGAGCAACGGGAGCTCTCATTTGTGGCTTCTAGGAATGCAAAATGGTGCAGCCACATAGGGAGACATTTTGGCAGTTCCTTAAAACATTCAACATACTCTTACCAGATGGCCCAGGAATCGCACTCCTCACGGTTTACCCAAATGAACTGAAAATATACATCCACACAAAACCCTGCTTCACAGCAGCCTTATGTATAAATGCCCAAACTTGGAAACAACCACGAGGTGAACAGGTAAATCAACTGTGGCGCATCCAGAGAAAAGGAATACTATTCAAGCGCCAAAAAGAAATGCGCTACCCAAGCCATGAAAAGCCATGGTGGAACCTTAAATGTCTATTACTAAGTGCAAGAAGCCAGCACACTGGAGGTTCTAACTCTAGGAAACTATGGACACAGCAGAAATTTCAGGTGTCGCCAGGAGTCGGCAGCGTGAAAAGGAAGAGCATAGAGGATTTTTAGAGCAGTGAGACCCTTCTGTACGATACTGCAAAGGTGGACAGATGTCATTACACATTTGCCCAAGCTCACAGAATGTGTAGCACTGAACCGTAATGTAAACAATTTTGGGTTGATAATGAGGTGTCCACACAGGTTCATCAATTGTAACAAATGTAACAAACCCACGGGGAGCTTGTCCATGGGCTGGGACAGGGGAAGAAGGCCAGAACTCTCTACTTTCTGCTCAGTTTTGCTGTGGACCTAAAACTCCTCCAAAAAAAATAAAGTTTACTAAGTGTTAAAATATATCTTTGACATCTCTATTGCGCAAATGTGCTTTCCAATAAATGGGGGAGCCCCCAGGTCCCCTCCTGCCTGGAAGCCTTGTCTTAGCACCCATAACTCACCAGGCTGTTGGCCAACGGTTTGGGACTCAGACTGAGCTCGGCAATCTTTTGGTTCACGCGCTGTATGGAGCCAATAATGCAGGCTGGGAGGGGAGTCTGTAAGGAAACTCTCTGCGTATTGATCACACACGGCTATGGGGAAGGCTGGCCTAGCTCATTCTCTTTCTGAGCTGTCTCTCTCCACTTAACTATCTTTTTTTACAAACATTCACACCTCTTTGATCATTTTAAATGAGCTGCTTTATGAATTCTAAATGAAAATTAACCATATCCTAGACACCTTGGAAAAGAGAAAAAGATTCTTCCATTACACTCCCATGTTAACAACTTCTGTTAGGATCTGGGGAGATTTCCTTCCAGTATTTTTGATATACATACCTTTTTTCTATCATTATAATCTCAGCAAATGTCTATTTTAGGGCTCTGACTTCTCTTTCACTTGTTATTATGATCATTTTCCAAAAAGCTAAATAATCCTACTATTTTAAATGGCATTGTATGAATCTATTTAGAGAACACACCACTTGACTGTTCCATGGTTACTGAATATTTAAGTTGATCGTTGTGTCTTACAATTAAAAATAATGCCGTGATGTACACAGTAAGAGAGCTATTTCCATATTTTGGATTATTCTTCCAACAGAGATTTTCAGGTTAGGGATGATGGCTCAGAGGGTATCTTGACCTTGTTTATCACTCTTGAAATCTCTGTTCAGCTCAAGGGCCCCTCTCGTTACCCTCTCTATCTCTGCATTTCTTTCTATCTTGGCCTCAACCGGTCTAGGATATAGCCTCTGTAGTAGCCCCATAATCCTATCACTCCTCACTGCCTTCACATAAAGCAGGGTCACTCTTACTTCCATTACTCTCAAGGGTTCTCACAGATTGGAGGATACTTGACAAATGAAGATGCCAAGGAGGGACATGACAAATCACAGGAAGTGAAATGGGTTAGTTACGTTGAGATGAGTGAGGGATTAAGAAGAAAGAGGGGACATCAGAAAAAGGCCCAGGAAAGTAAGTCCTCGAAGCAGACCTTGATGGGATCACTTGTGCTCATCTTGAGAAGGGATCCTGACAGGTGCAGACCCAGCCAGCCTGGCTGGCAGCAGCGGGACTTGAAGGTCAACAAGCTCTTGATGAGACAAGATGACCTGGGGTTATTTATAACCCAAAAGGGTTATATGACAAATGAGCTCTAAGGTCCTCCATAGACAGGCTTCTGACGGTCCCTGGCAGAGAGTTCAGAGTCAGAAGTGAGATGTGGATCAATGAAGGCAGGGCTAGAGAAGTCAGATGCTGGAAGAGCCTGGGGGATGCCAGAACGGGCAAACTCGGAGGCCAGGCAGAAGGTGAGGGCCGGTGATGACAAGAGGTGAGGTCAGCTGGGGTGAGAACAACAACAAAGTTGTGTCTGAAGGTCACTTATCTGGGGGCAGAGGGCTACACCGGGACTTCTTAGTTGCCATCTATAATTCCTGGGAAGACAGAAGAGAAAGAATGAGAAAATGAAAAAAATATATAAGCTTTTTTTTTTTCCCCCTTCTTCTTTCCTAGTCTTTCAACCATTATTTCTAGTACTTCCTCCTCCGGGGCCCTTTCTGATTATCCTAGTAAAATAAACTCAAACCAAACAATCCGTCAGTCTCAACAGATTCTTTCAGAGGACAGTAGGGCTTAACTGATTGAAAAAATTAACGAGCACATAAGGAAAGGAGCTGATCGTGCGTGACACAGACGCAGGCAGTGGTTACCCCTCTGGGGCAGGTGTATTTGGCCTGGATTGTAGACGGCACCATAGAAGGATACGGGGTGGGTTGTCCTCCAGACTCTTCCTCAGGGCATTCTCCACCGCCTTCCGGGTCACGAGGGAGACAGTCAGGTGCTCATCCATTGGCAACATGGGCAAGGCAGTGACATTGATGACATCCATGTTCCTGAAATAAGCCATTGTCCGGTTTCTCGTAGAAGGACAGAAGAGTAACTTTCTGCCTAAGAGCCCCCCCATTTCCTACCCCAAGCTTGCTCTCCGTTCAACCGGCCTGCGGGGAATCATAGATAGCATAGAACCATCTTAGAAAACACAACCACGCTCAGCCGGTGAAGTGGGGCTGATGGCAAGACACATGCTGCCTGCCACGTGGGGAACGGAGGCCATCGTCTGACAGCCCTTCTGAGGGATTCCAGACATACATATTTTCCTTTTCCCGTTGATGCTCTTCTGCCCTGTTTCCCATAAACGGTTCTAGTTTTTATTTATTTATTTATTTGACAGAGAGAGAGAGAGAGAGAGAGAGAGAGAGAGAGAGACAGCAAGAGAGGGAACACAAGCAGGGGGAGTGGGAGACAGAGAAGCAGGCTTCCCGCTGAGCAGGGAGCTCAATGTGGGGATCGATCCCAGGACCCCAGGATCATGACCTGAACCGAAGGCAGACGCTTAACGACTGAGCCACCCAGGTGCCCCTCTAGTTTTTTTTTTTAAACAAGGAGACTAGAAGGCTGAAAAGGCCAGGGCTCCAGGCCACCCAGCAAACCAGTTTCCAAGTTAGAAAGGAAATCAAATCCTTGTCTCTCTGAGACTCCTCTGCCAAGTCAGAGTTCTGGATTGGATTCCTAAGACCCTTTTCAGCTCTCAGATGCTGGACTCTGTGACCCCAGGTCCATCTCCTCAGCATGGGCTGCTGATCTACTCAAGGCTTCCTGCTCCCTCCCAGAAAACTGGCCCTGTCATTGCTCGTCCTCCTGGTTTCAGGTCACTCTGGCTGAAATGTTCTCCTGGGTCCTTGCTTACAGGCCAGGAGTTCCTGCTACCATCTGTGGGTCTTCCAGGGCCAGAGCCTGGGAGCATAGGCCTGGTTCTAAAGAAGACTCAGATCAGCCCTCAATAAGCTCCTATGTAGTGGAGGGAAAGAGAAAAGGTAGTTTAGTGGGAAAATTACCCCAAGGGCTCACCACAATGTCTTTCCCTCTCCTTGGGCTCAAGCCCTCCGCTCTGCCTCTTTTCCGCAGCCATGCTTCCCGTATGTCTGCCCCTGCTCCGCTATGTTCTTGTGCCCCTATGTCTTTTCACCTGCTGTTCCCTCTGCTCCATGCTCATCCCACATGACGTATCTTTTGGAAAACCTTCTTTTATAAACAGTTTTTAAGTAGGTTCCACGCCTAACACGGAACCCAACTCAGGGCTTGAACTCATGACCCTGAGATCAAGACCTGAGCTGAGATCAAGAGTCAGGCACAACCAACTGAGCCACTCAGGTGCCCCACTTTTGGAAAACCTTCTTGAATGACTCCAGGCCATTAGTTACGGCCCCTCCTCTGGCAAGTTTTGGATTCTGCTTTCATCTCTCCATCACAGCACTTATAATTCTGAAACGGAATTAGTTGCTTCCACATATTCTCCATTAGGCAAATTGATCCCTAGGGATTAGGTACACTCAATATTCGATTCCATTTTAGACCCACTCACCATACCTACTTTTAGTCTGAAGAAGCTTGGGGCTGTCCCAAGTCAGCTGGATCACAGGAAAGGCTGTCCCAGGCCCAGGTTAATATTATTTTTCCTCCTTCCAGCTCCTAGTCTTTCACTACATAGGCAAGGGGGAGAGGGTAAGGAGGAGACAGGTGCATTGCCGGGCTTCTCACTTTCCTCCCACCCACTCCCCAGCATGACTGCAAAATTATGGCATGTTCTCTGAGAAGCAGGCTTAAGGTGACTCTGTCAAGAAGCCTCTTGCTTTAGCTTAACATTCTCCCTCATGCCTAATGGAAGAATTGGCTATTAATATGATTCTTTTTTTTTAAGATTTTATTTATTTATTTGACAGAGAGAGAATGATCGAGAGAGGGAACACAAGCAGGGGGAGTGGGAGAGGGAGAAGCAGGCTTCCCGCTGAGCAGGGAGCCCAACGCAGGGCTCGATCGCAGGACGCTGGGATCACGACCTGAGCCAGAGGCAGACGCTTAACGACTGAGCCACCCAGGCGCCCCTATTATTGATTCTTTTTTTTTTCCAAAATATTTTTATTTATTTATTTGACAGACAGAGATCACAAGTAGGCAGAGAGGCAAGCCTGGGGGTGGGGGTTGTGGTGGGAGGGAAGCAGACTCCCCGCTGAGCAGAAAGCCCGATGTGGGCCTCGATCCCAGGACCCTGAGATCATGACCTGAGCCGAAGGCAGAGGCTTAACCCACTGAGCCACCCAGGCACCCCTATTATTATGATTCTTAAAAGAAATGTTTAAAATACACACTGTTCTCTTCTGAATTTTTCAGCATACCATTTTAGGTATTCTCTGAAACAGGATACGCTTTTACCAGCATTCCTTGGGGAGGAAAAAAGGATGGGGGAGAAAATGAATTTTGCTGATTCTCTACCCTGCGGGCTTCACTGTCGTGTTGGGGGCAGACAAGTGGAAGAGTAACAAACATTCTGCCCTCACGTAGCACATATTTGACAGCTGGGATGTCTCCTGTTTGAAGTTAACATGTTACACGATTTTAAGCATGTTTAAATAAGTGAAAATGATGCCGACTTTGGAATCAGACTTCTGTTCTTCAGCCACTCGATTTACGGAGTGTCCAACACAGCCCAGCAGTGTGCTCTTACTGGGGACAGGGTGGTCAGTTAAGCCAGACCTGATTCCTGCTTTAATGAGCTTTAAAGACCTTATGTCTACAGGGGAGATATGCAATAATCAAATGATTACACAAATAATTGTGAATTATAACTGCAACCACTGCTTTGAAGGAAGGAATGCAGTGCTGTGAGATTAGCTGAAATTAGGTATGGACCCAGTTACGGCTTGAAGGAAGAGCAGGAGTTAATTAGATAAAGGTGGGGGGAAATAACCATCCAAGCAGAGGGGAGTTAGTGTAGACAGGTAGGAAAAGGCTAGATCTGTGTGTCACGGTAGCCATTAACCACATGTGACAACTGAGGTCCTTGAAATCTGATTGGTGTGACTGAATAGAAATTTTAATTTTAATTAAGTTAAACTTACAAACTGAAGCAGTTGAGTATATGTTGAAATGATTATATGTTAATATTGACTATATGTTGAAATAATAATATTTGGGGCACATGAGTTAAATTAAAGACTCAAATTAATATAACCTGATTTTTTTTTAACTCTTTAAAATATGGCTACTAGAAAATTCTAAGTGACACATGTGGCCCCCATATGTTTCCATTGAATAGTGACGGGTTAGACCATGCAGTTTGATTCTAGGACATAGAACTCCCCCCTTTTCAATGCACTGAAGTGTAGTTGGAAGAAAAGTGGACTTGCAGCCAGAGACCCATGGGATCTGGCCCTCATTGGATGGATGACCTGGTGCACTCACGTACTAGGTACCCAATAAACATCCCCTGAATGGCTCTTAGTTTAATTTTTCAAATGGAACCAATAATACACACTGTTGGGACTTCAGGAGATCTGGCGTTGATCCTCGCACAGTTCTCTGCCCTTGTTCACTGTGTCACCTTGAAGTGGTCCCTGGACCTCAGTTTCCCCTGCTTGTAAAAGCAGATCAGTGCCTGGACGTGGGGAGGTGGCTGTCTGCGGAAGAGGGCGGGGCGGGTCACCGTCTGTCTTTCCGTCTTACCTGAAGACATCGGCGGAATCTGACGAACTTAGGGCCGGTTCCGCCACGAGTCGTTCAGCGGACGCCGAAAAGTTCTGGATGGGACATCCGACACCTGTTGCCCCTACATCCACCAGGAAGGGGTGCCCTTTGCTTTGTGGTGAGGAGGAAGAGGAGCGTCGGGGAGAGGCCCATTTTGCCACTATGAGTCCTGGCGTTCTCAAGGCAACGCCAGGCGCAGTCACCACTTCCACCTTTGCCACAACAATGGAACCTTGGTGAGCCTCGGCGGCGTCCGCGAGACGCCGTTACCACGGTGACGGCTCGGGGTTGGGGGCTGGGGAGACCAGACCAATGGGTTTGTGGGGAGACTGTAGTTCCTCTTCCCAGTCTATAGCACGGGGCATGTCAGTGACTCCAGGAGACATCCCCTCCAGAGTCTCTTTAATATACCTAGCGCAATCCTCAAGGGTTTCTGGTGCCTCGCGTAGGGACCCGTTGTGCACCTCACCGCGCCCGGCGCCCCCACCTCCCGCGATGGTAGAGTCCTGGGCGGGGATGCGCGTGCGCACATCGGCGGAGGGGGGCGGAGCAACGCCAGAGTCGTGGTCGCGGCGGGTGACGCGGGCCCCTGCAGGCGGTTTCCGGCAGGTATCGGTGTGTCTGTGGACCTGGCCTTCTGGGACGCGCTTAGGTCTGAGCACCGCGTCGGCCCAGAGCCCGAGGAGGGGGTGGGACGCCCGGGCGTTGTCCAGGGCTTCCCAGCCGCTGGAGCGGCCGGAGGGCGCGGGACAGAGGGCGGAGGCTGGGTTCACCCCAGGCGGGTCGCCGCCCTCCTCGAAGTGGGTTTCCTCAATTATAAACTGGGTTGGTAATTCCTCCCCGCAGATCGGTTGCGAAGAGGATGAGAGTGCGTGCGGGTGCACGTTTGTTCTCTACCGTTAGTTGAGTCCAGCGGCCCGGGGAGGCAGAGTATCTGTGTGGCACGTACTTGGCTAGCTCTGAACTCTTTGAGAATCCAACGAAAGCCGAAAGCGGCTCCTTCCCTTCTTGTTAGATTTTAAAAAGATAATGTATTTTATGGCCCATTGCAAACTGTAAAGCATTGCACAGCGATGAAGTGATTATCATCAGCTCAGAGGGGTAGACCTTATTTGAAGCCCAATTCCACCACCTTCCCAACCTGTGATTGGGGACGAGTTACTTCTTTCACACTCAGTTGTCTGTTTCCTGAGGCATACTTACCTCGATCTATTTCTCAGGGTTGTTGCGAGCATCAAATGCCACGGCTTTTTATAAACACTATAACTCCCTGTAAGTGGGTACTGTTGCTATCCCTGTTTACAAATAAGCCTGAGGCCCAGAGAGCATTAAGCTCGGGGGATCCCAGTGGGGCTGAGCAGCAGAGCCATGATGGGAAACCAGATGTCTCCCTTCACTTAGAGTTGAGCCCTCTCTCTCCAGGGAGTTTCACTAGAGAGAGAGCTACCTTGTGCCAAGGGGCTCGGCTCAGCTGGGACCTCAGGGTCCACACTTGTGCTCCGGATCTTAGGGTCTCAGCCAAAGTTGTTTGTGGATTATTGGATATGACTTAAAAGACATTTGGTCCAGACACTTCCTTTTCCTCATCTGAAATATATTCATGATAGTTCTCTGCTTAAGGGTTATGAGAATGAGATTACGAGGGAAGTGCCCCCTGTTAAAACCTTGAGAGAGAAAGTAACTTGGCCAAGGTTTAGCATGCAACTGAGGGGCAGAGCCAGACCTGGAACTTGGTCTGTTGTGTCCAAGTGATATGCTCAGGCCTAGTACTCTTAGCACAGTGGCAGGCTTTCCAAGAATGACCTGGCCAAGTATTTTTCCTTCTTCAGATGTCTCCAGGTGTTTGGAAGGTTAGGGGCTGCTTTTTAGTTGTTTTTTGTTCATTTGTTTTGTTTTTTTCATAATTAACATCATTGTAATTTATTAAATCCAGAAGTATATTTCTTTTTTTTAAAGGTTTTATTTATTTATTTATTTGTCAGAGAGAGAGAGAAAGAGAGAGTGAGCACAAGCAGGCAGAGGCAGAGAGAAAGAAGCAGGGTCCCTGCTGAGCGTGGAGCCCGATGCGGGACACAATCCCAGGACCCTGGAATCATGACCTGAGCAGAAGGCAGTGGCTTAACCAACTCAGCCACCCAGGTGTCCCTCTTTTGTTTAGTTTCTTAAAAAAAGATTTAATTATTTATTTGAGAGAGAGAGAACAAGAGTAGGGAAAGGGGAGAGGGAGAAGCAGACTCCCCACTCAGCAAGGAGCCCGACTTAGGGCTCGATCCCAGGACCCCAAGATCATGACCAGATCTGAAGGCGGCTGATTAACCGACTGAGCCACCCAAGCACCCTCAGAAGTATATTTCTTTAATATAATTTAATATAATATATATAATTTAATATATTACATAATATAATTTGATATTATTATAACATATAAAATTTCTACCACTTGACAACCTTTTACCTATAAAATGACGATTTCACTAAAGCCAGCCATCCTACCTCCCTCCAAACAGAGAGGAGTTTGGTGTATCTTTCCAAATTTTTTTCTATTTTTTTAATGTACATATATTCTTCCCTTTTTTTTTTTTCTTTCTGTCTTCTCATGGCTTTAAATATTGTTCTGCATCTTGCTTTCTTAATATTTAGAGTGCATTGGAGGTCTTTCCAGGTCAGTTCATATAAAGCTGCCTCAGTGTTTTTACTTGTCCTGTTGCATTCCATTGGAAGAATGTGCTACAATGTATTTGCCTATACCAACCATTGGCAGACATTTTGGATTGTTTTTTATTTTTCACTGTTACCAACAGCAGGGAACATATGTGTGTATATGTCCAATTCTTTTTGGAGGATACATTTTTAGAAGATCTGACAGCCAAAAAGTGTGCACATTTAAAATTTTGCTACGTTTTGCCTGACTGGGAAATTATAACATCTTGTTTCCACCTAAAGAAAACGAAAGTGTCTTTCTCTCCACACCCTACTGGCATTGGATATTTTTTATCTTTTAAGTTTTGCCAATATGGTGAATGAAAATGCTCCTTTTATGATGTACCCCACTAGTTATTTATACAAGGGCAATTTGATATATACCTTTAGCCGACTGACCATGACTGTGGACCTTGGGGAAAACTGGCTAACTTCTCCACGCCCTAGTCTAGTATTTTCATCCCTGATATGGGTAGAAAATACCTGTGTGGCTCAGTGGATTAAAGCCTCTGCCTTCAGCTTGGATAATGGTCTCAGGGTGTGGGATCAGCTCAGATCACGGTCTCAGGGTGTGGCATGGAGTCCCACATCAGGCTCTCTGTGCTCAGCAGAGAGTGAGATTCTGCTAATTAATGATTAGGAGGGATTCTCCTCTCTCTCTGCCCGCCTCTCTGCCTATTTGTGATCTCTCTCTTTCAAATAAATGAAATCCCTGAGCCGAAGGCAGAGGCTTAACCCACTGAGCCACCCAGGCGCCCTAAATAAATAAAATCTTTTAAAAAAAGAAAAGAAAAAGAAAATACCTACCTAATAGGGCTGCTGCAGTGTGCTCAGCATCTGGCCCAACCAATGGTGGCTCTGCAGAAAGTGATACTAGTTTGTGTTACTGCACTCTTTTCTTTTTGGAGTTAAACTCTTTCTTCCCAGATAGGCCCTTTCCATTCCTGTTCTGCCCTCTACAGTCATCAAGATCGTCTTTCCCTCTCCTACCCTTTTACTTTTCTCCAGCAGAACGAGGCCAGGGCCTTCCACTGTTTTGGATGACGCCATAGTGCAGCTTCAGTCTCCCTCAGCATCCTGGTCCCCAGTGCTGTCCCATCCGCCCCCATGATGGAAGTCTTCTGCTCTGTCCAAGCCCTTGTGTTGTGCCCAGGCCCAAATGCCATCCCCTAGGTTGTGAATCTACTGCTGGTTTTTTTGTTTGTTTTTAAAGATTTTATTTATTTATTTGACAGATAGTCAGCAAGAGAGGGTACACAAGCAAGGGGAGTGGGAGAGGGAGAAGCAGGCTTCCCGCTGAGCAGGGAACACAACGTGGGGCTCGATCCCAGGACCCTGGGATCATGACCTGAGCTGAAGGCAGACGCTTAACAACTGAGCCACTCTACTGTTGTTTTAAATTAAAAATACACACCTACCAATGAAAACTCTCATGAGTACACCTGCTCCAAATATCTTTATTTTTATTTATTTATAAATCATACAGACATGAACGTCTGTATTACTGTAAAACCTCCAAAGAAGCTTCTAGACTTTCATCATTAATCTTCGTGACATTAGTTTTTACATCACTGAAAATAGCATGGTTTTTCATCATGTTCTCATTGAGTGCATGTCTTCCTAACTGATGGATTTGTACAGTGCGCTTTTTTTTTAAATTTTAATAAATGTCTATTTTAATGTTTTTCACAATAGAATAAATGCTTCTCTTGATGACTACAGATACGTAAGGCTGTTTGGTAGTATTCAGAACCACCACAGGAATGGTTGTCTTCCTGATTGGTGTGTAGTCTTGAGTAATTATAAGGAATCACTTGTCTGGAACTGCTGTCAAACCAGCAGGACTGCATTTATGCATCCATCATTTTCAGGATTGTTGGTAACCTGGGCATATTTTCCCCAAATAACTTTGCCTCCTTGTGTCACAAGGCCCAACTCGCTCACGTTCACCTCAATTACAGTACCTTTGGTAATAACACCCAAAGTTGTTTATAGTGGGGATGAAGGATTTTTTTTTTACACCAAGTATTGGCAGGCAAAAGGTGGCTTTCAATTCAGGATGTGTTACACGGGCCTTTTTGAAACGTAAGCCCATTGGCCTAATGAATCTTTCGTATTTAGGTGGTTTTCGAGTAAAGCCATCTCCAACAAAGCAGACTTTAGTGACCATTCTCTTCCATGCTTTCTTCTTTCTCTTTCCTGTTAGAATAACTTTTAATACTTCTGTTTCTCCTCGGGCACGAACTTTGGGTAAAAGAACTTCCCATTTTCCCGCTTTCTCTTTTCGTTTTTGTTTAATCATATTAGAAAGTACTTTAAGCTTGAGACTGTCCCTCCCTGTCCAGTAGATACGCAGGCACTGCTCCTTGTGGAGTCTTTTCATCATTCTTTTGTTTGGTGTTTCTCTTTTCATGCATCTTGATAGTCTTTTTCATCTGTATTTTCTCAGCATGGCGCTGTTTATGGTAGAGCTTAGTTTTCAGACCAATCATCTTTTTTGCCTTCTTTGAACGTTCATGAGCCTCTCGACCTTCTTTCTTTCTCTTTTTCTC